ACAGCTTCCGCTAAATGGTAATTTGTTTTTCTTTGGTTCTAGCCGCGGAGGTTCTTTGGAATTTCTCTGCGAATATACTGTTTTTTTTCGCTGCTCTAAACCAGATTGTTTCTCGCATTATCCTCTCCGTGTGTGAATAATTGCACGAAAACTTGTTTTATTTCTTCCATGAAGTTACAGAAACGTGTGATTTCCTTGTTGAGATTCTAGAGAGTGGCGATTTGTATTCACAGAGTGTCAAGTAATTTCTTCAAAACCATTAGGTTTATGAATTTGTCGAAAGATTCCGTCATTGTGCTAAACAGGGAATGGTTTTTCTTATCCAGATTCTTTCGAGGAAAAAATTAAAGGGTGACAAGCAGCTGAGATTTAATTGAACGGTCTTGTAAAAATGCAATCTTTGCTTAAATGAATCTGAATCCATGTCAGAAGTTTTACGGGGGAAAAACGTGCAGTTTTTCGACCATTTTTGTTCAAACAATTGGCTAAAATGTTGTTCGATATATTTAAAACAGAAAAGCCTTTTGAGACTTTTCCTACTATCCATAGATAACCTCTTTAAACTTTTTCAATTAATGGATTACACATTACAGAATTCTTTACTTGAAAATTCAAATATTGTAGTTGAGGAAATCCTGAACAGATTTTTCGGAAAAAAAGAAAAAATGCGTTCTAAGCTTCCGAAGATTCTCCTTTTCAAAGATATCTCATTGATCAACATTTTTATTCACTGTCCCAATCGGCTTTACCGCAAATATTCTTTGAAAATGCGTTTTTCCATTTAAAAAATTGATCTATTCATTTTGATATGATCACAAAATAAGAAGAATCTCTTCTGAGCCTCAGAAGTACGCAAGGAGTGAAACGTAAAACAAATAATTGTTTTCATGAAAATCATCAGTTCCGGGGAACTGAAAAATTGGAAAATGCATTTTCCAGAATTATTCAAACATTTTTAGGGTTACAAATTGAGAGCGGATTTTTCACTATTGTTGCCAGGAGAATAAAGCAAGCAACATATTCCTGGTATGTATTCATATTCCTGCTCATTTTTCATAAACAACTGCGCAAGATAATCAATTGTTTCGTCAGATATTAGTGCGTTGGACGTGCTATAGGCTTCAGCAAATCCTGTGAATGAGGTTCTTTGAGGATGTCCAAAATGCATCATTCTGATGCCAATTCGTGCCAAGCGAGTTTTAACGAACATTGCTTGCTGAAAAATATGGCTTTTCTTTACAATGGTTCGCCTTGAAAGTGTCGTAAATGCCATTTTAAAGTGCCTTGGAAGACGAACCGAAGTATTTGTCTTTCAACACGGTCGGGGCCGTTCCAAAAAATGCAAAGAAAACATAATCATCTCTTGAGGTTGAACAACATCTGGCTAAAAAAGAAATGATTTCAGCATCGTCGGGAATCTAGGATGCTGATTTACATTTTACTATTGCATTTTAATGTTTATACCGCTTTTTTATGTTTTTGAAGTAAAGGGGGCCCTGCCGTTTGTTGGATGCAGTCTGGTAACTCTGCTGGAAACCGAATCAGTCAGCTACAAGCTAGGATCGAGATTTATGTTCGGGAACTGCCATAAGACTGAAAGAATTGTTGCAAGCATTTGCTGCTGCATGGACATATTTTTCCGACCCTTGAAAAAAAAAATGTGGAAACAGTAAATCGTTAGATTCAACCCGACGGAAAAAATCGTGATAAATTCGAGCGTCAACTGGAAATTTCATCAGTTCGAGCCCCGAGGAAAGTCGCTCGCTCAGAAGGTATAGCTTTTTAAATTAACGTACATTTTTGCCCGGGGGAGGAAAGCAGCTGCTGGTCGACAGTTTGACATTCGGTTGAAATTATGCCCGTGCCGAATGTGTGGCTTTAAAGTGCACACTGCTCCTGTTGAGCTAAAGTGCCTCGTCGTGTAAAGGAATTGAAATCCTAACCCCGGGGCTTTTATTGAAGCGTGACTCGGTCATGAACTGGTGAAGGGATAGCGATATATGTGACCGGGTTTGCCTATTATTCGTTTCGGTATTGCTGAATATTTCGGGACCACGGGTTTCGCGAAGAAGAGCGAAACCCGGACTATTGGGGGATTTATTCCCGTCGTTTCCGCGGCGGAACAACTTCCATCCGTCGATACTATCGCCTTCTCCAGCTGCAGCTCCGTGTTCCAAACGTTATTGAAATTCTCCTTCGCGTCCAGCCCAATGTTCCACTAATATCGCCGAATAAGGTGGGGAGAACCCTATCTACTATGCTGTACTGTACTGTACTGTACTCGCAAACCTGGCAACACGAAGAGCGAGGACCGGAATTTTCCACTCCAAGTGAAAGATACCATCAACTTTCAATCAGTGGGATTCAGTAATAAGGATTGAAATCAAGGGAGTCCATACAGTTCCACATAGACTCTCTTTCTCAATCTCTTATTACAGCATGAGACTCACGAAAATTGCTTTGATGCAAATTTAACTTTGTAATTTTCCGCTCGTATTGAAAGATACCATCAGCTTTTAATCAGCATGATTCAGTATTCGGGATTTAAATCAAGAGAAACCAGCCTATCAAGTTGTCTTTTCGGCTTAATAGTCCATCGTATGGGTTTGGCGGAGTCTTGGGGCAAAAAGGAATTGCATTGATAAAAATGTCATTTTATAATTTCCAACTCCAAGTGAAAGATAACATTAACTTGCAATCAGTAAGATTCAGTATAATAAGGATTAAAATCAAGGGAAACCATGCAGTTCTATATCAACTCTTTTTCTCGATTTCTCCCATGAGACTCACGAGAATTGCTGTAATGCAGATTTAGAACTTCATAAATTTCCGCTTACAGTGAAAGATACCATCAGCTGACGATCAGAAAGATTCAGTATATTAGGAGTTGAAATCAATAGGAAACGAGCTCTTTAGGGACTATCGTCTGTATTGCAACTAAAAGGAATTGCGTTTTACAATTTTCCATTCCATGTATAAGATACCATCAACTTTCAATCAGTGGGATTCAGCATTCAGTAATGAGGATTAAAATCAAGGGAAACCATGCAGTTCTATATAGACATTCTTACTCGATTTCTCGCATGAGGCTCACGAAAATTGCTTTAATAAAAATGTATCTTTGTATTTTCCGCTCGAATTGAAAGATACCAGCATCAGCTTTCAATCAGCAGAATTTATTATTTGGAGTTTAAATCAAAATAAAACCAGCTTTTCGGGATCTATCGTACGTATTGGGACAATAAAAGGAATTGCGTTAATGCAAATACCATTTTATAATTTTCCACTCCGATACCATCAACTTTCAATCAGTGGGATTCAGTAGTGAAGATTGAAATCAAGGGAAATCATGCAGTTCTGTATAGACTCTCTTTCTCGATTCCTCGCATTAAACTCGCTACAATTGCCTCAATACAGATTTAACTCTCTAATTTTCCGCTAATAGTTGAAGATATGATCAGCTTTTAATCAGCATTTCAGCGATCTCAGCATTAATGGTGTGGCTTTTAAAATTTAGATAAATGAGTCCTTTGGGTTGCTAGACTAGCGTATGCATTGGGACTGAAAGCAATTACATTAATACAAATGCATTTTTATAATATTACACTCCAGGTGAAAGTTATCATCGATGTTCAGTTACTGTAATAAGATGCATAATTAGGGATTCAAATAAAGAAAAATCAGCTCTACGCCCTCTCTTTTTAGCTTGCTCAATTTTCACGAAAATAAGCAGCAAACCGCTAGGTTTATACGAGGGTTAGAAACACTTTTTAAAAGACGATCAAAATAAGTGGGTGATTTCATAAGATGATATGCTGTATTTTGAAGTGTTGATGAGATTACCGAAATATTAACTAGCAAACGACAGAAAGCTAGCATGTATACAATCTTAGAAGAATGCAAATTTCAGAGAGCCGTGAAGTCAAACATGAGACGACAAGAGAGGAAAACCATGATTCAAGATAGGCGTGCCATTTTATATCTCCAGATAAATTTTGCTATTGTAAAAAATACACAAAAACCCGAGCAATAATAGATGTGATCATTCCACGCATTCTTTGCGACCTTTCTGTGATGTGCTTCGGCAGTGATTTGTAAGCTTATCTCGTCGTTCTGGATTTGTGGGGCGTGAGCTTGAGATTCAAGGTCGACAAGATATCCGTGTGGCAGATTTATGTTTCTTCGGGTTCCTGTTTTTGCACAGCGCGAAACAAACGATAGTACAGTATATACTGGCCTAATCACTTCGTTCTCAGATGTTCTCATGAAAGTAAAGAAAAAGATTCAGCCGCGAATTCGTTGGCTTGTTGCTGAGGACGGATATTGGACTACTCAAATCATCCAAAATTGAAAAAAAAAAAATTATAAAACGTTTCGGAGCAATACAGTAAATGTGAAAATTTGTTGCTGTTACCAAGGAAGCTCGTCGGCAAAATTTACCGATGTTTTGGAACCGTCATAGAGAAAAATGGATGCATACTTCGATTGATTGAATATAGTCTGAGGGACGAAACGAAGGGTAGCGTTGCATTATTCTGGCTTCGTTTAAATCATTTATCTTTCTCTTTGCCATGGGGGAAAATATCGTGAAAAATTTGACAAAGCGGAACAACCTTCAAATGCCATTCAAAATAAACAGCGGAAATTTTTTTAATATTGGCTGCTCGTGAAGCATTTGAAAGTACGCGAAACTATGGCATCGTTATTTGTGCGAACTGTTTTATTCCTGCGCAAGTAATGAAAGTCGAAACATATATCTTCCAGCTTCAACCGAGTATTCAAATGTTCGAACTAGTTGAATGAACCCAATTAAAATTTTAAAAATAGCATAATTCAACAAGCATTTGATTTTATGATTCTGCAATTATGTACGGTTTTATTTTTGCGGGAGGTATTGGTGTTTGATAAATCATTTTATTTTTTATCGGGTCCCTCACCGTATGTTTTTTTTTTTTCGTGGGAGGCGACGTTCAGAACCGCTTCTCTTTTTCTGTTCGAAGGGAAGACGAGGCTATGAAACTGGACGAAACTTACAGAACGAACCAAAGAAAATTAATCAAAGATTGCATCGTGCCCGGCGGCAACCATGCGTCGACGTCTTCTTCAGTCAAGTGCCTTCCTGCCCTGCCTGATGCCGCGAAAAGCTCCACTGCGACGTCGACTACGACGTTTCCGGACTCAGACAATGATTCCAGCAAGTGTCTCAACAACAACGACGATTACAGTAGGAACAAGAACCTCGACGAGGCTAACGCCAGTGAGGATCGACACCGCAACCAAGTCTCATCCCCGAGGATCCTGAATATCAGCCGAAATAGGGAAAATTCCTTGAGCTCCGCATCTTCTTTGTTTCTTGCGCAAAAGATCTTCGATCGTGAGTAAACGTTTTTCATATACCCCCTTTTTCATGCGGCACATGTCTCAATTTTTGTTTTGTTTTGAAAAGTGCCATGAAAAATGCGATATAGTGTAAATCTATGAACCTGGAAATAAAATAAAAACTACTCTTCACTGGTCCACTTCTCTACCCAGACCGTCGAGAGCGCAGAATTTTTGCATATGCTAAAATGTTTCAAATGTCTCTCAATGTACAAGTTTTTTCGATTTTTTATCATGAAATTATCAGGTTTCTTCGGTGTATAGTCACACACTTTCCTCGAAACATATTCTCAGTATTTTGCGACCTACAGGCTATTTTCCGTGAATTTCTAGCTTGAAATTGCTTGGCCAAAATCAGGGTGCAGTCTACACGTGCGTGAATACAATATTTACAAGAAAAATCACAGTTCTCTGGCAACATGATCGAAAATGCTAGTTATTGTAATTTGTTTTGTATTTTTTACATACTGATGCTATTTCTTGAATTTTCTAGTTCTTGGAACCGAAAATGAAGGGCTGCAGGTAAATTTAAGACGAATTGTCCAGGAAATAAAACGGGGAAGTTTGCGCAGAAAGTACCGGAACTTTTATTAGTTTTTGAATGACAGTAAATCGCACCAAGCAAAATGGTTTGAATGGCAAACATGAAAGTTGTTGAATCAGAATTTTTTTTAATGCAGGTTAAAATCCCTATCGAAGGGTAAATATGTCAATTCGATCAGAGGAAGAGAAATGATTGACGAAAACAATTTGACAATTGCGATTATTTCTTACATTTGTACTTCGGGCAGAGTTGCGTTTATTCTTCAGCATCCTCATGTGGCAGAAAGATGATCACTGTGGTAATGAGATACTCATAATTTGAATGGTCCTTTTTTACATGTAATTAACTACCCCACCTCTATTCCCCATACAATAGTTTGTCACAAAAATCTGACACCATTGATTTCATGACTCAACTAACTTTTTTTCGTCAGTTTTCTCTATAAAAAGCATTGGTGTCAGAGCTGGTTCAAAAATAACACTTTTTAAAAAGCATACATGATGTACCGGTATATAAATTTTGGGCCTCGTCCCCCTGGTTGCGCCCCGGCCCATGCGTTTCAAAAAAAAGTAATTTTGAAAAATTACCGTCGAGTCACATCAGTGCAAAAATGTATGTATGCAGGACTCGCAAGCACTTTTTTCTCGCCAAACTTTGAGGAAAAGAGAACACGTGTTGCAAAATGATATTTCATGTGTATCTCGCATTTGAAAGTTAGAAACAATTCAACCTTCTGAAAATTTCTTTCTTTAATCGGTTTTTTCAACGCTGTCTTTTCTGCAATTTTTGCATTCAAGTTACCAATTGAAATAGAGCCGCGTTTCTGTTCAGATTTCCCTTTTTGTGAATCCTGAAGAAATGTTGGGTCTATTTCATAGTTGTATAAAAGCTGAGCCTATCAAATTGTTGTACGTTTTCTTAAAGGTGTTCCCTCTTTTTTTTAGGGCCAGAATTGGGGTTAATAAAATACGCAGACGAAGATGGCGAAGAAATCATGGCTCCGGTGTCGATTCTTGCACCGGATCAGCGGAGGCATCTGAAGCTCGCCGGTTGCGCCCCCGTGCGAGCAGAGTCACTCGTGTCGTCGACGGTGTCGACGCCGGACGACATTGACGTCGTCCCGGACAGCAACGGACGAAGTTCGACGCCGGATTTGGACGAGTGCCTGTTTCGCATTGAGACTCCAGTGCCGTTTCCCGAACCTTCGCCCTTCAGCGAGGCCATGCTTTATTCCGGACTGGACGTGACTCCCGAGAGAACGATGACGACTACCTCGTCACTCACTTGCTGGTGATTCGAAATATAGTTTTTTTTCTTCACACGTGCGACATCTACATGTTTAAAAGTAAACTGTAGAAAGTGACGTGGGTATATCATGACTACAGAGGGAGAGAACTTCTTCGCCAGATGTCCCTTCAAGTTGAAATTTCGTTGAGCATATGAGTTAAATGTTATTTTATATCATCAGGATTTATTTGAAATTTTCACAGATTTTTAAATTTGCAATTATCTGCATTATTCAACCTGATTTCATACTTGATGAATGCGGAAATCTGAAATCCATACATTGCGTCATTTGCGTGTAGTCTGCACATGATTCTTACATGCTATTTGCATTAAACTTATATTTTCCGCATAACTCAAGGTACTGTATTATACGGTATATCAGCTTTTTGAAGCAGCAGATATAGTCGAGAGTTTACAAATGTAGTACTTGAGTCACGAAATATCAGGCAATGAAACGCATAAACTGATATTTCTTGGCAACTTTTGAGCACAAGGAATTCACATTTCAATTTCTTGCTTTACCCAGCATTTCATTTGGGTTGTTATATCGGAAAAATTTTTGGTTCGCATTCATGAGCTAAAAATATAAAAAATAGCCAAGTGTAATCTCTGATTTAGTCATTTCCGAGGATGTGCTTTCGAATATCTGATCGATTTTGGATAATCGCGTTGTAGATATAATACTTGTAAGCTGTTATCCACAACCCTATCATCGATGACTCAACAAAAAATGAAGTATTAAACTATAGAAACTGCTTTTAATGCAAGCCTAACTCAAAGATACATTTTTATCCTCAGTCCATTTCTTAAAAAGAATTAAGCTCGCATCCAAGCTTAACTGAGCAGTCCTGTATTTTCATCTTCTTCTTCTGATCATCGAACCCTTTTTTATCTTTGGTCAATTAAATCTGCAGTTGTTTCATTCGTGGGGATTCCTTGAACTCCTTTTCATGAATCCTTCATGAGTGTCCTACGTAAAAGTTCAAATTTCAGTCAACTTATGATTTCAGAGTCTGTATTAGTTTCTGAAGAAATGCGGTTTTCGCTATTTAGAAAAAAACGCCGCTTGCACCTCCTTTAATTTTAGTTCCTTTAAAATTCTGGCTTTTACATCCGTTACAATTATTGAAAATATTTTTTACAGGTATGATGACGGACCAGTAAATACACCGCAATGTACGCCAGTTATCGACGGCAGCGTCGAGCTCGACGGAGCGACACGAGCTAAACGCGTCAAGCTCGACGGCGCAGTTCACGCGTGGACTCGACAAACCGCAAATTCTTAAGAAGAGGAAACGGATTTTCTAACTATTTTGCACTTTGGAAATTTTCCTCTCCTCGTCCAACCGCTGAGGAAATTTATCTCTGAACTTAGCAAACCGTTCGCTCAGCACGATCCGAAAGCTGTCCGAAATCTATTGATAGTAAATACTTCTCAAGAAAATTATGGACGATATCGCGGATTTAAGAAAAAAAGAAGAATTTTCTGCTGAATAAAAAATTTATGATGGAGTTAAAATATTCGGACTTGCGCGAGTATATAAGAAGAAATTCTGAACCAGAACATTTCCTTTCAAAATTTTTATTTCATTTCCAATCTGGCTCAATGTCGTCTTTGACTCTTCGAATTCATACGCTTGGAAATCTGAAGGAAACAAAGAGAAAAAGCGTGGATGATGAATTATGGTTTCCATCGAATTCTACGATTTTTGTATGGAAAGTCTGGAAGCTGCCTTTCGAAGTAACTTTCATGATGGTACAAGAGTTTCTTTTTTGTTTTCGTCTGAATTCAAACTACGCCGTGTTTCTTATTTGGAACTTTACGCTTGAACGTTAATTTTGCGCGCTTCTATATATATATACAGTAACATTTGGAAATTTCTCAGATTGTTGAAAAGCACCGTCAAGTGCAATCTACTGAGAGCTCAAAACAGCAAGCGTTAAAATATATTAATTTAAAAAAGAAATCAAGGAATAATAGATTCTCCGCTTCTTTTTTATTCGTAAATTTTGGAAACATCTAGAATTTCTGAAACGCGGAGCTGGGACCAAAAATACGCTATTTGAAGTTTTGTCCCACAAGAGTTGTATCATTTCCACGCGAAAATTTTCGGCTATCATGCTCTAGAGAAGAGAAAAAAAAGCTAAACAAATAGAAAAGAATACGCCACGAAGTCGAAATGATTGATGAGAGAACCGTGCTGGTGGTTAATGTCTTTATTCCGAGTGTCCCGGGATTTTGTTTCGGACACAATTGTTTTTTTTTTTTTATTGTCTGCTAAGCAAAACGAATGGTCAAAATGTGTTTCCCACGAAGCTCGCGCTGTTTCGGGGGAGGATTCAGATGTTCTTTTCAAAGGAACAGCATAAATGTGAGGTGCTGAAATTGTTTTCAGTGTATTTTTCATTGAACGATCTCATCGCATGTGGTTTTTATGGAAAATTCTTTCAAACGTCGAATTAAAATGAGCACCCTGAGCTGATTTAAAAGCTTTACGTGCGCTGCGATAACTTCGGTTCCATCATGCAGTTCGGGGAAGGTGTTTTCTACGCGATATTAGTCAATGCTTTATTTTCAATCGATTGAAAATACGCTCATATAAATAAAACCCTGGTTTTCATTATTAGCAATAGCGGCTGAAATAATTATCTCATGATCTTCATTTGACAATGAATCACTGCCGCGATGTTTCCACTGCCACGCGTGCACTTCTTTACCTAAAAATGAGAAACACGTTAAAATTTGATTTCTGCATTATATTTCCGTTGTGCGGAGTGAAATTTCTATAGAATCTCTCGCGTGACATCGATTTTTTGTAGCGTTCCTGTGCTGTATTTGAGACGAGTAAATCTTTGCAGGTGGTTGTTGTGTCAAATAATTACCTGAACTGATTACTTTTGCCCTTCACATATATACTTATATAACTCATAGCAGTTATATTTGTATTCATCGGAAGTTTTCCATACCATTGATGAACAAGGTTGTCAACAAGTTAACAAAATGAGCATGGAAGTCATGATTATTGCATTGAGCAAATAGATTCATTTTCATATTGAATCAAGAAATCGTCTCCATCATACCTGTATTGGGTTTTAAGTCAAGTTCATGGGTCCTGGTCCACAAATGTAAACCTGATCTTATGAGCAGAATCAGCTGAACTTGCTAAAAAGTTTTTCCATCAATGGCGCACATCATACGCGGTAACTTTTGAAGAATGATCCGAACTGATAGAACTACTGTACATCGTACAATAAAACTGCCAAGTCCAAGAAAAAATATGCACGAAAAATAATTTTTCCGGTGGTTTTTCTTTCCCGACGTGAGGATTTATAATAATAGAAGTGCTTTCAAGAGTACTTTTACTCGGGAGAAAATAAAACGAGCTCAATTGACGCATCCCATTTTAAAGGACATTCATGGGATACAGTTTCACTCAAAAATGCATTTTTTTTCTAATTCAACCTGCAAAAAAAGGTTTCTGATTTATTTAGGAAGGAAATTCCAGAATCTGCTGATACAACGGCAATTTTTTAGGGCCTGTAAAATAAAGGCGCGTCGTCTCAGCCAAATCCATGTAAGACTGTATTCATTTGCTGTCATGATTATGTATCGTAATCGAACTTACTCTATTTTAGCCCTCGATCATGACACATCAGTATTTTATCAAGAATCGTTTGTAAACGTTCCAATACCAGAATCGGAATTCAGCAGATAGCGATGTGAAGACTTCCAGAAATGAAAAAACGCATTTCCATGGCGTTGACAAAAATGACACGCACTTCAATTAAGGAAATCCTACAAGTGTTCCTGCTTTTCACCGCATTTTGTGCGCCGTTAACAAATGCGATTCAGCAAGATTATGGGATTGTGTATGAATGGAAAACAGTGAACTTTGATTTCCCTGATGGTCAAATATTAGAGGACGGATATTTTGTGCCAGAAAACTGCACTCTGACTGGCCTGAAGATTTACCAAGGTGAATTGAGTCAAAATATGTGAAGCTCATACATATACTGTATGAGCTTGTTTGGGCACAATTCATATATTATGCCCATCTTCTTTTTAATTTCAGGAAAAAAAGTACTGTGAGTACTTCAGTAACTCTGCGAAAAATTTCAATTATTATTCAATCAATGCCCAACTGGCGACCCGTAACCATAGCAGAAATATAATGCAGTTTTAAATCGACATCAAATGAAGAGTTTTCGACGCCCCATGAAGAAAAAAAATGAAACTTGAACACATGCGATTCGGGGAAAAATAAACAGTACTGATAATTATTCAAGAATATCGCACAATACTGCAACCGTTGTTTACTTTTATTACAATCAGAATAAATCTTCCTTTAATCCGAGAAACTCCGATTTGGTGCGAGGAACTTCATTTGAGTTATAAGACTACTGAGGAAAACATAATCAGAAGCTAGTACTTCTGAGAGTACCGTTTCAACAATTTTGTTTTCAGTAAAACGATCTTTTTTTCTCGTCAAGAAGTACATTGTGAAGGAATTATACTTATAACTACATCCTAAAGAAATAATTTCCGAATTTTAAATATATCTCAACAATAAATATGGAGCAGTTTCCTCGTAGGTCAATTTGCTAATAAATAATTCGTTGAGGATGAGTGCTGATCAGCTCATATGGCCTATAAACTCAAAATCACAGTCTCATCGTGAAGAGGAGGAATTTTCTCCTAGATAAACAAACAAATCATGCTGACCGGCACTGGTTCTCGGAAAAATAGATGGATGAACAGAGTACTGTACTACTTATTTGAAAGATTAAAACTGCATAAGCTTTTTCGCAGATCGAGTATTCGTGACTGTGCCGAGATGGGCCTCGGGTGTGCCATCAACCCTAAACGTCGTCGATCCAGACACCAACCTTCTTCAGGCTTGGCCCTCCTGGAACATGCAAGAACTCGGCAATTGTTCAGCTTTCCAATTCGTGCAAAGCATGGAAATCGACAAGCAGGGTAGAATGTGGACGCTGGACACCGGAACCGCCGCTGACTTCCCTTATGCGTCTCTTTGTCCGGCGAAGCTCATCGTCCTCGACCTTACAACCGGAAACGTTGTATTGACGCACGAGTTCCCGGAGGAAGTCGCTCCGTTTGGAATGAACTTCCTCAACGACGTCGTGCTCGATACAGATGAGCAAGGAATCGTGACTTTCGCGTACATCACGGATGTCCGGGTGCCTGGAATCGTAGTGTATGACGTCTTCGCAGATCGCTCTTGGAGAGCGTTTCATTCCTCCATGCTCAGTGAGGAGTTCGGAGATGAGTTTGTGATTCAAGGAGACACTTACTTCGTCGTTGATGCTCATGTCGATGGGATTGCGATGTCCGAACGGGGTCGCACCACGGAGAGGTTTGTTTCAGAAGTTGATGCCAATCTTATTCTCTTAGTGCCAGAGCGGAACGATCCATCCAAAAATCCAAGAATACATGCCTCCTTTAGCCGATTTTCTATCAAGTAAGACGTTGGGTAGACTCTTTTAAAACCGATATCTGGGGCAAAGCAGCTGAGGCATGTCTTGAATGATAAACGGAAGCTTCAGTGTCACTCTTGTCGCAGGTAAAATACGTACATTTTTTCAGACTTTCCGCTGAACCCTTAGATACAGAAGACCAATTACTGTATTCTATAACAAATTTTGTACGCTTCAACCTGTACCATCTAAAATGTTAGAAAAATAAATAAATCCTACATTTCGAGCATTATCAACCCGGGCTTCCCAAAGTCGAGAACCTTAGAACACCAGAAGTAGTTAGTTGAACGTTATCACTTCAAAATTAAAACTTGATCACGTCCATAAATTAATTCGAGACATGCGTAGATTGTCTCAATAGCTGAAAAATGTCCAGTACCAAAGTTTCCAGCTTTTCCTCGGTCCTTCAAAGAATTGCGTCTAATTAATTTGTTCGCCACACGAGAAGCTGAAAGCATTACAAACTGGAAATAATTTCGTGTTCCTCATGACTGCTGTCCGGAAGTAACTGTAGTCACGAGACCCACAACGTCTTACGATGACCATTTCTATGAGAAGAAAAATTGATTACGTACGGTTTTCCAAGCGTCTTGGTAGTGTGAAGTAAATTCGGGGAAACGTGAGATATCCGAAAACTTTTTTTTTTTTCAAGGAAGCTCTTCTACTGTCCACTTTCCGGCTTCAACCTGTACTCCATGGACTTAAAGGCACTTCAAGACGAAGCAGTGGCAACGGACGAACTTCTCCTTGATACAGTGGTGAGCTTAGTTGGTACAAAAGCATCTCAAACAGACGGGATGGTGCTTGACAGCAACGGACGGCTCTACTTCGGGCTAATGTCACAAATGGGAATCGCAGTTTGGAATAGCACCGATGCTGATTTTGAGCCGGAGTTGATCGTCACAGGAGAAGTTTTCGAATGGATCGACACGTTCGCTATAGACAGCGAAGGTTTTTTGTGGGTCACAACAAACAAACTGAATCGCTTTTTCAATGGTACGCTGGATGTTAATGATACGAACTTCCGAATCATTAAAACATTCATCGGGGCTGGATCGTATCTCGATTAAAATCGAGTCGATTCATGAAATGAACGAGGTTTACCCAAGCACGTGATTTTCTTGTTTCCGCGAAATCGCAATAGGCCAACTTTGACGTCGAAAACAATAATAACCAGAATTGGCATTAGTTGTTTCCTATGATCAGATACAAAAAGTGCATTTCGAACTTCACACTGAAATGTCAGACGCGCGCTATAAAATAATTCGCGTACGTAAAAAACGGTGTCAACAATACCTGGAAAACACTGGATTATGCCAATGATGCACAGATAACCACAACTTCACTGAAGTAACCTTGTTGCCACTCCAGATCAATCTACCCACAAACGAGGTATGTCGGTGTTTCTGCACTTCTTCAGCGTGTCTGTCACGATGGAGTAAATTTCGTCGTTCAGCCCCTCAACGGATTTATCGGCACTGACGGTCTGAATAGGACAAGCGATGGAACACATTCGGAATAAATTCAAAAGGGTCGAAAACGGGGATATTTCCAGACCTTAGACTTGTCCAGAAACTCATCTTTGAAATTATTTATTCGTCTGCCAAATCAAGATACTTGAAAATGAAACGAACGCTTGAAATTTCAGTTTGAAGAAAAGGCAGCAACTTGAAAAAAAAAGATGCATTACTGTTTGAGACAAGCCTGAAATGTATGGAATTGCGCTGAAAAATTGATTTTTGGGATATAAGAGATTCTGAAGTTGATTTCGGACCTTTTTCGAACTCGTTTAGATCAGTTCAACAACTCGTGCTTCTCCATTTCAATGCAATCGATTACAGTGATTGGAGTGCTTCGAAACCTGTTCTCTCAAACGTACCTTCCAATAAGTAGGATCGGAAAGAGCTTCCAAATTCTTCATAACTTTCCGCTGAATTTCAATTTGTTCGTAGCGCTCCTCGTTGCATCGCTCTGAACGGCGCGTTTGGAAAGCTTCTTCAGATAATTTCAAGTACAATGCGACATCAGGTCTTGGTAAACCGACGTCTGTTTGTTTACACCTTTCAATAACCATTCCCTAAAACCGAACAAATTGTTGCCAATAGCAAAAGCAGCCAAAGGAAGACTCACCGGCTTCGCGCAAGTATACGCTACACCAGAGAAGGCGTATCTGTCCACAACAAGAATCGTACCATTCATCAAATCTGTCACCATCTGTGGCCTGAAATAGAACAGAACTGAAAAGGGATCGTTCCCAGAAGCGAAAATTGGCAAAACGCATACTCAGCTTCCCAACGATTTGCAGAAAACAGCAAATGAACTGCGTAATCGTGAAGGTTGCAAGATTGTTTCAAGTAGCCGTCAAGTATATGTCCTATTGGTGTGGTCCTGTCTTTAATTACGAAGAAAGAAACGCGGATCATTAATTTTACGAAAACTGCACAGGATAACAATCTAGAATCATGAAACTTACCAGGGAATCGCAAAAATTTTGCCGGATGACCGGCTTCTTGTAACCGCTTAACCAACAGTGTAGCTTGTGTAGTTTTCCCCGCATAATCTCCCCCTTCAAGAACAACCAAGCAACCACGCGAAATTTGACTCACGGTCCTCATTGTCAACAATAACTCCAAACACGCCAAATTTCCGTCAACGACCAAAACAACCTGTAGGGATGCGCGTTCAGAAACTCATCATGACATCAGCAAAAACAGGAACGTTCCAATGGTGACTTTCACGTCGCATTAATAGAAAACCTGAGGTACAAGAAAGCCCAGGGCTACGGAAAAATAAATGTAACGTAAACAAATCTGATTGCGAGATTGTTGAGATATTGAATATTCTGCTTTCATCGTCAACAGCGGTTATTTTAACGGAGGTGAACGTAAGATTCTTCCGAGACTAAAGAGAAACGCGAGGTACTGTACCATCCAATCGAAGAATAAAAGAATTTCTCATTTCTTTGAAACCAAAAACACATTTGATGAATCTGGAACACCCTGTCAATTGCTGACCAACCTGCGGTAAACTATTGCACCGGGTGAACAAAAGAATGGATTATATTCTCAGGAACAATTCAGTGACGAACAAACAAGAGGGAATCACTTTAATTTCAGGTTAATTCAAATTCGAAAGCACCACTATGACTTAGACTTAGAGCTTTCGACCTTAATCAGAGAAAAATGAGATGCGGATGATGTCTTGAATTCGAATTTTGACAGATCTGCGCCCTCAATTCAGTTGCGATTATACTTTTATGCTGTAATCAGCGGTATAAAGACAAAAGAGGAATATCTAAGGTATATATTAATTGAATGAGCGCACAATTTTCGATCACACGTGACTGGAAGACATCGCCGACTCTGAAATGTATCATTAATATGAGTTTAAAATAAAAAAGGAGGTTTTACATTCAGCTCGAAAATGCTGTTGGCATTAAAACTAAATCACGCTGGAAAAATCTACGTTAACCCTCGCTTGAACATGTAACCGCGGCTGTGATGAAACAAAATCCTTGGGTAAAATAATTTCAAGCACAAGCGAAGACGCACTTCAAGACGCTTTCTTTCAGATCAACAGCATCTGGAAAATTGAATATAGTTTTAATAGAAACTCTGCTTCTCCCGTAGCGCTGCCTGGAGCACTGTGTGGTAGATCTTTTCCCCAAGCTCGCACCGCGCGCAGAAATATACGCTCATTACTTGAAAGGGGGAAAAAATGAAAACGATCGCCGCGCAGAACGACTCGTAAATTTCTGGACTGGCAACGTGTCTTCTCCTTGCGGATAACATCAGCTTCTCAACAAAAATAAAACAAACAACTGAAGCATATTGCGTATTAAAATATACCTCGCTCCACAGCGAATACTTTTGCAGGCTCAAATCTGAAAGTTTTCAAGAATGATGTCCATGCAATGCGATCAGAAGAACCGACACTCAAGTCGAACACCATGAGTAACGGAAAGAAAAATTCCTGGATGACACCCGAGTTTATCTCTGAGAAAAAACTCGAATGAACGCATCGTCATGCGAACCAAGCTGCAAATTCCGCTTCCGAACGAAAAGAAAAATTCGGAAATTTTCGAAGAAGAAACTGGCCGTAACATGGGAACTTGAAATCGCGAAAAAAGAGAGGTTTAAAAGTGGTAACGTCACTAAGAGGGTCGCATTGCATATACACCATGTCGCTTATAACAGGATAACTCTCAATGACTCCATTCAAAGACTTACACACTTATACGTATAAAATCGTTTTCAAATGGTACTTCACCGTTCCCCTCAGCGCGACGCAAACGAATTGAGCTCTTTTCTCACACACTCTACACCCGACTTCCTCCCACAGGGAATGTAAACGTAGCCACCAGCATTAAAAAATCTTTAAGCCTTCCGACCTCAACAAATGAACAAACATTAAGCAAAAAAAGCACGACTAAAACTTTGGTTCGAGCTGTACTCGCTTTGATTTGATTGGGATGTTCCAACTGAAATAAAAACGTATACGAATGAACTGCTACACTGCTGGACGGGCATACGAGCCCCTTTCGGTGCAACCGGTAACGATCACGAAACAGCAACATACGAGTGAGACTTGAATCTCTCAAAGAAAGTGGATGCGATATAAAAAGAAGCACGTCAACATAAATCGCGCCTCTTGCTATCCGGGATCTGATAAGGCAAACTGCACAATTCTGCGTTTGTAACTTAAGCAAGAGCGGAAAAATCACATGAATCCGTCATACGGAAACAAGCATCCAAGATCACTTATCCCTCACACATAAAGCAATCCATCAACGATTTCAACGAGGTAGCTTCACGATCCGTGCAAATTTTCGAAAAGAACATTTCTGTGACGACTGACCAGTGGATAGCGAGATGTGGTCTATGGAACATCATCAAGATCTCAAGCACGGAAACGGAATATTTTTTTCTCAAATCACTGTATCACAGCAAATCTGTCTTTCGGTCTCTGTCCTAACAGCGCGAAATAAAAAAAATCCTTGACGGCTTCCTGTCATCCGACAAACACACCCTTGTGTTCTTCGCAGAAAAATAAAATAAAATCGATTGACCCACCCCGATGTGCTGAGAGTCAAGTGGCGACTTCCACTTTTTCGAGATTTCCTTTGATTTAAAAAACGTAGGAAGAAAGGTCACTGGCACGATCACGAAACAAAATATGAAAGTCGTAGCTGGCCACTTAGATGAAATTTCGTCTGATCTCCCGAGGTCTTGACAATCATTTGGCTGCAATAAATGTATGCAAGACGTTCGTTTCAAGGAAGGTATTCGACGTAGTTCTCAGGTACTAGACCTTGGTGTCCGTTTAAAGTACCTTCCAGCCAACCGGGTTCCTTCGAGGGTCGCACTACATTTTGAGAAAACGAAATGATGCCAACATCATCAAAATCAAAGAAAAACTTCGTCTTCTAATATAAACAAGTCACACAAAGATTATAAAAATACAGTACAATGAACAAAATTTCATTTTCCAAAAAAATTGCCACGAACCATTTGTGATGATTTGATTGGGCTCGAACGACAATTCCATCTCATTTTCTCCGACGCAAGCAAACAGCGTCCTCACCCGCCTAAAATCATCAAAATTATTTTCGCACCGGAAATGACGATCATAAAATACCACACCGATTATTCAAAAATCAAGTCTCACCTCAGCTGTTGACTGGACGGACTACCCTGGCCACTGGAAGAACCAGACGTACCCCTAAAATCCGACAAGCAGCAGCAAACGCACGCATAAATAAATAAAAAACACCACAGATCAGCGGACAGCAAAAGCAAAACAATCCCGATTTGATCCAAAGTTAATCACAAGCCGAAAGGACCAGATTAGAAACAAGCCAATACGCAACTTACGATGGCGTGAGGGAGGAAAGACCGCCGGTTAGTTTAGACTTCAACACGAGGCTTCGTAGGATGGCAGGAAAAGAGAAACAGAGCCACAGATTAACACGAAGCAAGACCCATTCACAAATCCCAAACGAGAAAAAAAGGAATTCGTATTAGTAAAACCCTTCAAATGACTTTTCACCATCAACCCTTCCACAACTAGTGCACAAAAACTTAGATTTTTCCAAAAAATATTTGCATTCTTCCATGTTTCACAGGCAGATAATACTGTGCGTCAAATTTCCCTTTACATTTAAAAAGAAATCAAAATCCAGGAATCATTCTTTCCCATTTATAACAGCATAGTAATCAAAATATTGTAAGATTTTCTCATCTTTTATCTTAGCAATTTTTGAAATAATTTCTGTTGAAGTATCACAACGTGGAAGCGACATGCTGTGAAAGATTATAATCTAAATCACGCACAAAAACCATGGAATATAGACATGAGTTTAACTATTCCACTCGCATAAAAAGCTGAATTCCAAGCAAATCTAATGCGAAAAATTGCATCACTTTTTTGCTCAATACACAACTACAATATAAACTTCACCGCAAAAAATACTAGCCGAAGTTCTAAACCCATGGCAAAGGTTTCAAGATCAAATTATTGCTACTTACGGCTCTTGGCTGCGATAATTCGGAGGGTTAGGGAAGCCCAACTTCGATCCTGGATAAAACAAAGAAGGAAAAAAAGTGTGACTTAGTGCCGACGTTTACTCGACACGACACGCTTATAGCAAAAATGTGGGGAACGAAAGAGAAAAATGACCGTGTAATCCAAAAAACGTCGGTGAACAACAAACTTTGGATAAATAAAAGCTTCTGAAAAATGCATAATCGGCTTCTAGGCACGGAAATATTTTCGTCAACAGAACATACTTGTTTTCGGGGATGTCGACGGCTCCTTAGAGGAGCGCGAAGACAAAGATTCCGTAGAGCTAGAACTGGAGTTCAGCATATTGAGCGCCGGATTTTGTCGAAAACCAAGCTTTCCTCTGCCAACAACGGTGCCTACAGAACCGCTGCCTCCGCCGCCGCCACCAGCACCCAACGTCACGCCGGTGCCACCATTCGCAACGCCCACCACCACCTCCTCCTCCATCGACTTAGACATAACATTGGCGCCCGCAGCGCCAGCGCAACGCAAATCTAAAAGGCTTTGTGGCTGAGTTTGATCGCGGTAAAAGACGCGCTTTCTTCCGGCGTCCTCGTTCTCCGCACTGTCATACAAGTAGGCCTTGTAGGACGCGTCGCGCGAGTCCACCATTAACGCGTCTTCGTAGACGCTACGTAAGTCCGGACGTTTTTGGACACCGGAAGGCGCTGCCAGGCTTTCAACCGATGTTGACATCGACGGGAAGGTGTTGAGCATCCGAATACCCGGCTTTTGATCTGAGGCGGTCGGTGATGCATGCCGCGGGATAGGGCGGAGGTTTGTCTGCGCTGACGGAGCAGCAGGCGTCGGCAGGGCGTCGTACAGTCCATGTGTTGAAAGGCGTGAAGACGACGACGAGTGCTTTTCCTTTCGGGACGACGGGTACGTACTTTCCAGTACAACTGGACGAGGGGCCTCCACGCTGTACGACGTCACAATTGTCTGAAATGGAAAAAAAATCAATTTGCTTATGAATCTATCATCTGTTCCAGACGCAGATTTAGAATACAGTTCAATTTTAAATAATATGCGAGATACAAGTGTTGGAAATTTTTTACCTCTGGTGAAGATTATTACGTGAGTTTCGTGTCAAGAAATCAAATTTCCCCGATCACTTCATGGTTTTTTTTGTCTTTCATCAGTCATTTGCCTCCTGTTTTTTAATTTCATTGAATGAAGAGGAGTGAATTATTTTTACAATACAAGCACTTAATACAATATAAAATGAACCTGAATCGGGGTTCAAGTGCATGCTTTACATAATCACATCAACGCAAACAATCGAATCATAACGAAGACCAGAAGCAAATGAAAAACATTCTAAATACGATACCATTTTCAATTCTATGGCAAAATATTTAGAATCTCAATTTTTTCTCACGTGTGAGACAAGCTCAATAAGGGACTTAAGGACGAGTAGAATCAATAGACTTCTCTGATAGTGAAAAAATTGATGCGACGGAAATACGCCTTACATTTGCAAGCAAATTCTACTCACAACAAAAGGGGCGCGTCTCGCATTCGATGGCGTCTGATATTAGTGTAAAATGAGGTATCTAAACTTATCCCTTATCACAGGATGACAGTTCGGATGTTTGTTCTCGCAGATAGTAAAAAAGAAATACAAGATACTGTACATCTATCGAATCATTTCTGATAATCCGCAACTTACGTGCGTAACAGGCGCTAAACTCAGCGCACTGACTAAGCTCGATTGACTTGAAACACCGGATAGCGGTTTCACCGCAGTTTCCGTGGAAGCTTGTGGACCGAACCGGGAGAAATTGTTACTGGATTCCACGACGGCACTGCCACTTCCGTTGCCGCCGCCACTACTACCACCAACCCCACTAACACCTGCCACGACGCCGATGCCAGCACTAGCCCCGACGCGCGAAGGTGACAATTGCCACGCCGGCGTACCAGCAAAAATCTTTTCGAAGTGCGTGATGAGGATCTCTACAACCATGTTGCAGAACTTTATGTCCATAATCGCAGCCATAGTTTCCTCTTCGGGGCGGAACAGCGTCGGTCCAAAACAAACGCCCAAGTTGCTGACGGTCATCAGATTGAGTTGACTCTTCGCTGCCACTCTGCGAAATACCGATCAATTCCATTTAAGATTGATTTAAACCGTAATAGGAGATTCACTCGAACGAACAGTTGTTCACATTACACAGCGAAATAAATTATAACATATAAAATTTAAAATAAGAAAGGGACAGGCACAACTTGATTTTACGACTAAGCAAAGTTAGCGAAATAAAAAATTTGGGAAAACATGATAAACCAACATCAAAGTTCACAGAAAACTCACCGAACGAGGTGCTGTATCAGCAGCTTCAACATCTCATAATGAGGTCGAGGGAGCTGATCAACCAGGCCAGCGATTTCCATTACTCGTTGATTTTTATTCGCAAGCTCTGCAGTCATGAAAAAAGTTTGGATTAGCATGATACTCATTAATAAATGATCTCACGTAATGATAATCCCACGTGGAAGCACTTTTACTCGTACATCGGCTTCTGTAACACCACGGAAAGCATTGCACCGAATACTTTCAAGCGGTCGTTTCAAAGAAACCGTGATTTTCGGTCAACTCAGGCTGAATAAAATTAGATGAAGGAAAAATTTGTTTTCATAGAAATTTCCTCGAATTACTGCGAAGTTAAAATTCGTGATACGAGACGGAAGCAAAAAATTTAGGAACAAATATATAATAAGAGGTAATGATATCAGAAGTAGATAAGAAATATTCGGCGTAACGCCCGATATATTGACTCACTAGCAGCGTCGAGGAAAGCAGTGTGCAACCGGTAAGTCATAAGCGGTTCCGGTAGATTCCGGAAATAGGTCTTCAGGGCGGAAGTCACGGTTTTGTTCTCCCATTCGAAATGGTCATCAAGAGCAAGCTTTTCCATTTTCTTGGGATCTAAGCCGTGCGCTAGAAGTCGCGTGACACGGCTCGTCACTCCCACTAGCCGATACAATCCCTGATCCTCCAGTCCTACGAGACAAAAATCATATCGTAAAAAAGCCTGAAAAGCAGATCAAACACGACGACCGATGGGTATTTACACTACGAAAAAAATATAAAATAAAGAAATAAATTAGGTGACAAACCTCTGGTTTCTAGTAAAGCAATGCACTTCTTCACGAAGTTGAAGCCCGCCTCGTCTAAAGCGGTTTCCTCTGGGGTGGACGGCTTGACCGGCTGGGCGTACGTCTGAAAGCATTGAAAAATTCGAAAATTTGAACCAAATTGAAACAGGTTTAACGCAACGAGACAAAAATCACACGCACGGGCTCTTTCCCATCCATAGCGTCCATCCAATGCTTCCGGTCCTCTTCGCACAGCGCCTGAAGAGTATAAACAACCGGTTTGTCTTCGCCGGTAACGTCAAAACAGAATCGTTTGTCAATCGATTCCGACTGGCGTCGAATGCACGACTTCAGCATGAACGTCTCCGTCGTTGTCTAAAACACACAAATATGCACAACATTTATACCATGTGTTCTTTCTGATGAGTATGAAACGGTTCGTGACTCACGATTTTCCCGGTTATTTGCGTATAAGGGATCATAGTGAATAAACGATTTTCTTTCCGGTACATGCAGTAGTGCTTCGTCCATGTCGTTCCAAACGCTTCTGTTTAAGGAGGTGAAATAAAATTTTCATTCACCACGTGACGAAAACGGTCACTGAATAACGTGAAAATATGATACAGTACAGTACTGTATTCACAAGGATATACCGTACAATACACAAATGAACTGAAAAGTGAGAAAATATTAGATCACCGAAATAAAAAGAAATCATGCTCAAATAAGTAAAAAATAACGGAAACTAAATGGAAATAATACTGGACTATAAGAACAGTCGGTTGACACAAACGTGATTCCAACTTCATATTTGCTCGAAGTTCCCTTACAAGACAAAACGTGGTTTGATAAATGCTCGGTGACGCTATTAGGTTTACTTATCTGTACCTCATCGACTCTTCAACGAATAACTTACTTTTCTCCATGAGATACAGGTAACCTTGTCTCGTGTACGCTTTACTCAACGTCCCATGATCCATTTGACGCTGCACGCGACCCGAAGAAACCAAGGAATAAACGATGTTCAAAAACTAAAATCCAGCCATCGCGAACGAACGAAATAACGAACCTCCAGCATCTTTTTCTTCAGCGAATCGGCCTGAGTTTTCATGGTAATGAAATTTTCTCGTGTCTAGATAAACCCAAAGTGAAAATTGAAATAACTCAAGAAAAATGAAGAAAACCAAAATTCCGGAACATCAAACCGAACTCTCAATTCCTGTACTCACGGTTTGCACTCGGAGCTGCAGGTCCTTCATGTACGGTCGGTATTCGGATGCTACTTCATGTCCTTGGTGATAGAACGTCAGCCAGCCATACATAAATCCAAGTAACTACATAGAAGAGAATATTTCATTGAAAACAAGAAGACGCACACCGTGCTCAAAATTCGATACACACGCAAAATTTTGTACAAACCAGAAATTTCAATATGTTGTAATACAGCTGAAGAAAACAAAAGGGAATTTTTTGAATCGAGACTCAACTGTTTCCACAAATTCGAACTTCTTGCGCTCCTGTACCTCCTGAAGCAGCTGCACGTAATCCAAACTAGCCTGACAGAAGTACCGTTGCTCCATGTCCACACTCGCGTCCGCCTGAATCCGAGTAAAAACAGCACAGTAAATATTTCCATCAGTAATCAATTTTCTTGGCAGACCAATACTAAAAATTATATTCTAAGAATCACACTTCTAAATCTCATGCACAGCTCATTACCGAACGAAGACTTGAAAAAAATAAGAAGACTGTTTCGAAACCAGTAAAATTAGAAAATAAGGCTGAATCACGATACGGAAAACTCAGTCGCTCACACCGTGCACAACCAAAAATAAATAAAATCAAGGAATCGAAATTTTCACATTTCTCAACCAAGAAAGTCAACTAATGGAAGTTCTGGTTTGAAATCCACACGCATTCCAAATTTTCAAGAAGTACCCCTTACTTTCACACGGCGCTAAACACCCGCCCCACACGGCCATGAATCTCCTCAAAGACGACCTTTAAGGAAATCTATCTGCAAGAAATGAGTTCTTCGTTTATAAGCTGAACCCTTTCGTTTATCAGAACGCACGAATATTTATTGCCGCCAGACGTCTAGAAATTCAATTACAAAATCCCACGGAAAAAAGCATTTGTCCCCAACTAAGGACTCTTGAGTGAGAGTGAAGTAATCTCCGACATCAAGTCAAATTTTCAAATCGGGCGTTTCCATGAAATATATTTTAACAAATGTATCACCAAGACAGTGAAACTATTGCTTTGGGTTCTCTGAATGAAGATGTCCTAAAGGTTTGCACATTACTTTCAAACAAGATATGCAGCGATACTTTCATAATGCTACTGACATTGATATCAAGATGCGAGTAAACCTCAATTTAAAATTTAAAGATTACAACACGAACTCGATCAAAATGTTCACAAAACGGTTTTCTGATCATGGAAAACGAGCCTTCAAACTTGATCCTTTCTCAATCAAACATCACGAGAATAAAACCTGAGAAAACTGTCCACAACCAAACAACCATCATTCAACGAAAATCGCGACAGGAGACGCGATGCTCGCCACAATGTTTCCACTTATCCAAAAATAACAGCCCCCTTTCGCCAAGTAAGAAGGCCCTTGGGGCTCGCTGACAAGGCCAGTAACGGAAGCTTCATAACGGGTCCAGATAAACTCTCCACAAGTTAAAGCTCACCTCGCGCTCGGTCACAATAAGAACACGAGCCCATGTGACACCGATGTAGAGACAACAAAACCTCTCCTTCAGAAACAGCACCTGATTGACAAGACAAATTGACCTCCCGTCCACTAGAATACTAGATCATCAAATAAACGCGATCCCCAGTCGGGCACATGCCCAAGACGAAAGGGTAGGTTTGGGAAACGCGAATCGCAGACCTCGCGTCGACGCGACATGTCCTCGGGGGTAGGGGGAGTATAGGGGCCTTCCATAGGCCGTCATGCAGACGCCTGGAGGTTCGCCGAAAAATTCATGACTTTTATTTTTTTAGAAACTCAATGAGGAAAGCCATTCGACATGATCTTCGTTCACGTTCTGCAATTCGCGAAATAATACACTATAATATTCGGTCATTTCCCCGGGAACAAAATTAACATTGATTTAAGGTACGTTATTCTCACGATGACGTGAAAAAGTTGAAAAGAAATATGCCCCAATGCATTTCTTGAAAATATATTGATGTCTTTTAAAGTGCTCATCGGAAATTACTAAAATGAGGTGAAATCCAGGATGATTCAGTTATTTTGACGTCATAGTAAAGGCGCTACATCAGTTATGGACATTGATAATGGACACGAATACGGTGCAGGCAGATTATCTTAGCCTCTCTAGATATTTATCTTGCTTCATAAAAATAATTTCCCTCTAGTTCTGAAAAATCCACTGAAAATGTTCATGCAGCTCCTTCACAACGAAACCATCTCAATGAAGAATTATTTCTTGGTTCTATGAAAATCATTCTGGAGATAGCTAAATTTATCTATGCGTCCAGACTAATGGAACTGCTATAATAAAATTCAATTTCTCACACGCTATTCAAATGTCAGAAGAAACCACGATTAAAAAATTAAAACAATTTTGTTCGCGTAGCGTATTTTTCCACTATATCTACCATTCATAATTTCTATTTAAAAAAGAATAAAAAAGACCCGGTTCATTGTCTTCACATCAGTCATTAGCTTGTTTTTTTCTTGGTCCGATACTTCAATAGTATTTCCCGAGCTATGATTCTACCAAGAATTTCTCAACTGAAAATAAACTTGATCCGTAATTATCCGGTCATTGGGTAAATCATGCCCGAATTCTATTCCTACGAGAGGGGAAAAGAGCCAAATAAATCCATAGCTGGAGCCGCTTTTTTCCAACGAACTCCTCGATTACGCGGGTTAGTGCCCTGTAATGTGCTTCGGAATCCGCGTGAAATATCGGCGACTTCAAGTCATTCTAGGATTTTTTTTTCCTCGCATTTTCACCAACTGAATTAGCATCTTCAACCAAGCCCAAACATTCAACAAAGTCGCCCCCGGGTCATTTGAACGGATAATCAAGGTTCGTTCCCTCGCGATGCTACTAAATGTTCTTCTACCCGCGCGGCAGTTGCGTGTGTCCAACTCGCCAGTGTTGCAGCCGTGTAGCCCGCAGAAGGCTCAGCCCATTCACAAAGCGACGTATGCGTCCTTCTCTTCGCTCCCTCGTTCGCCGTCGTTTTCATATTCATGCCCCCGCGCGCGTCGCGGCATCGATCCGATCGCGTCTCTCTCTCTCCCGCTCTTTTGAAGCGACGAAGAAATGGACCTCGGGATGCGCGCGCAGGAGCCAGAGAGACGCAACGCGACCGCTAGGAAATTGCCGAAGACAGCGGTAAAATTATTTCCGCGGCCGTGGACTTCACTACTACTTGTGTATCTATCTGTGTGTATGTGTGTGTGTGCATGGTGCATAGGTTATACAGTAAATGAAGATGCAGTTGAACCTCAATAACTCTAACGTCCCAAAGTCGAATACCTCCCTATGGCAAATGTTTTCCTAGTCCATATCTGATTACCATAGGAAACAATGCATTGAAAACATCAAATTCGAAGCTTTTCCCCCTCAAACATCCATTACTCGAATTTTCTGCGGGCCTTTTGGCTTTTATTTTATGGAAACAGGACACAGAAAAGCTATAAAAATGTAACTTGGTAGGTGGTGAAAGACTAATTGGGAAAATGAACCCCTTGTCTGCAACTTGAGCATCGTGTCAGCTCATTCAAGAAGCCATTTCAAGGCCCAGAATATCATCATTCACAATTTTGTGTAATTCTTCTTCTCCAACAAAATTACCTTAATTTAGGAAGCAAAATTGAAAAAGTTTTCCATTCTCATCAAGTTTTATTATGTATTTTCATTATTTGGTTTTTAGAAACTCCTACAAATTATTTCCTTAAGGTTTAGTCTACATAAAAAAAATACCAAAGAATAAGTTAAGTGATTCACTGTATTTCTGGAAGCCTCCAGAATCTTCAGTTTCAGGGAATGTGCACTTGAGAGGCACACTCCCTGCTCCCATGTTTTCAACTAGCAGATACAGGCTTCTTTCTTCAGCAACTGTTCTCACTTCCAGCAACTGTTGCACAAAACAGAAAAAATGCATAATTCATTCATTTGTAGGGAATTTTGAAAACAAAACTAATTGAGAGTACAATGCTTTGTGCCATGATATATTTGTTGTGAACTGAGTATTATGTTGTTCTTCATAATTTTTAGGAATGTGTGACTTTTGTGCTGGGAAATATGGAGCAAGGATAACAAAAAACGCACATAAAAAAAAGTACAAGTTAAATTTCAGCTCTTCCCCCAGAGAAAAAATTGAAAATGGAATAGGGTTTGAGCACTATCAGATAAATGGAAAATGTTGAGGGATTCAACATAAGTCATGACACCAATCGTTGTACTAGACAGGTTGATCAACATACGTCACGTTCTACTGTGAGTGTTTCCGATCGTATGCTCGCGAAGCTTCGGGTGATACGCGTGACAGGTGTCGAAAGTAATGAAAAAGGGAATTGTTCTACATTACGGCCACGATACCCAAACGTATGGAACGAATTTCGGAGTAGAAGAGTAACGTACGTACGGGGATTCAAGATCTATTCGAAAAGCAAGAAACAAAAACAACCCGCAGCTATTAGCAACAGTTCCTTGTGACATTTTGTCATATGAATGCGGGACGACGTGAAGAAACCTGGAAAACTTTGACACTCGCAATTAAATGCTTGGGAGAGCGACGAGGTAAATGTTCGTGATTTTCAGGACGGATTCTTAGCAGGTACCAACGTAATGAAAAAATAAGTAGTGGCACCAGCGATTAAATAATTTTGCTAACCCCCTTTCTTCTTCGGTTAGGGAGCAATGAATCAATTTCAAAAGATACTTTTGACAACTTCCCTGGAAAAATTATGTCACCCCGCACGTTGATTAGTAAGGCAGGATCAGAAATTAATTTCATACACGATCCAAAGTTTAACGGAATAGTTATTTGTTTTTCATGTGCATTTATTTCGTGGACATCGAAGTCCAAAGTCATAGAATCCTTCCATCCACGTGCGAATGTGAACAATTGATGGGTTCATCAACTTCCTCGCGTCAAGAATCGAAGTTCAAAGTTCCAAATGATCTGATTTTCCCTAGCATCTATGACGTTTGTGCACGAAAGTACTGTAGTTTTTTATAAATAGACGGACTTCCCGAAATCAAATGTTCTCTATTTTTCTCGTCGAAAAGGAATACAGTATACCGCAAAAAACCCAACAGAAATCAACCCACCTCTCCTAATATTTTGCCACCAAGATCCCGAACCTGTTCTGCAGGATTCGGAAGCTTGAAATCGCACAGAAATTCCATGGTTTTTCAAACTGAGTATGAATGGAAACGAACAAAAGCCTTACAACAAAATGAAGGGTTCTCCAACAAGCTGTTCTTTGAATTTATCGGCACAGAACCTATCCGTCTGATCGGCGCAGTATATTCTACCATTCCGAAAGTACGCGTGCGAAAAAAAACTAATGATGAACAAGTAATTCATTTATACTCATGTGACACACGTACGTTCGTAAAACAAAGTCTAAAATTGCAGTCTGCTCGACGATGTTTTCGTCGCTGTGCTGGTCGTAATCAATCGTACCACGGTTCCGAGGAACAAGAACAGTTGCCTGTCAAGTCACGTACTGTGACGGAGCAGAAACGGGGCTCGTTGTTAAGGTTATGCTTCTGCGCGACACGCGCCACCCTGGTTCATGCGTTCAGTGTTGGATACGACTTTCGGTGATGCTCCTTTCTCTCGACGATATACGAGTACAACTCAGAAATTAAACATATTCGATGCTTGAAATGGGGAAGTTGATTTTTCTGTGCCAATGATAATTCGAGAAAACGAAGACTAATTTAGCATTTTAGTCTATTCGGATATTTAACTTTAAAAAAAAAGTAACAAACTTCTCTGACGTTGACAGAACCAACAGCGAGTCGAGTTTTTCATGAAGAGTGACGAGTTAAAATCACTAAAAAATTCGGCACAGTAAAGTAAATTTCTTATTCCACCGAAGACAACAATCACACGGGAAATATCGGCATAGGAAGAGGTTCAATAATAGTTGACTGTTATCGATCAGAGCGGGGGAAGAAATAAACTTCTAAGGTAAAAAATCAATTCACCACGAAATTTCCCAAAAAACTGCACATGAAAAAAGGGGGAATTTATGATCAGCAAAACTCATAACAAAACAAATACGAGGGGTTTTCCAAATCCCATTTCGTCGCTGATCTGGGAAGGCAATTTTCTTTCAAGGTGATAATTCAAGCTTCTCCATAAACTTCGCACTTCGGGTAAAGTGAAGACAAGTCTAACATCGAATGCGTCACTCGGTACTAACATTTCAAGCAAAAAGTCGTTCTCTCATTGATTTTCTTCAAACAAGAAAACGCGTTCATCATACCATGAACTAAGAAGTCCAACCCCTTCAATAGTCATCGGATAAGACCAACAATATCGATTTAGATGGTCAACGGAGATGTGTTCAGAATAGACGCATCATTCTCCAGTGGACGAAGACTGCTCGTGTAAACAAATAGAACGCATACGCCTCTCGATGCTATGCATATACTTCTCGAAACCTTGAGCTTATTTTAGCTCCATTCAATGTTACTTACCTCCTGCAACACGAGCTCTTGCTTCCGCGTAGACAGGTTGAGGTAACGTTCCTGACTTTGCACAAATTTTGATGTTTGCTTCTCAAATTTTTTTCTCCCGTCCTTCGCTGCGCCGATTTGTTCTTTCCTGAACTTTTCCAAAGGTCGAATGATTTGATCATAAGCTTGTTCCAACTAGGGGAAAAGGCAGCATGAAGTTACACCAACACGTTTCCAAACCGAATATTCGTCCGCATAACAATACAAGGCTGGCAATGTGCGTATAAATGTAACGTACCATCCGATCGCGCTCATCTTCAATAGCGGAAACGAGCTTCCCCAACTCTTTCAGAGAATTTGAAATGACAACTTCGTCGTCAGTTTGAGACGAGCCGATACACTCAAATTTGAAATTGATTAAAGTCTGACTAAGAACACGCTGAGCACGGGATAATTCACGAGCTTTTGCCAGCAGATCTTTGACATCTTTGATTAGGCCCTTGATGGAAGTGCTGGTACGCTCGAGTTCTTTCTCATGGGCTAGAAGATCTTGACGGAAGTATGGGCTGTCCGTAAGGCAATCCGTGAACTCGAGCGGGGGCAGACCCATCATCAATGTTGTGATCGACAGTGCATTACGGCTGAATCCGTCGTCGCACGATACACATCACACAAAGGCTTCGACAGAATCGAGAAATCTTGTTCCAAGAAGTTTTTTGGTCAACACCACGATCACCGAAGTATTCGACACAAGCGAGCAAGATATAGAAGCTGTAAAAAAAGTGACGGGACGCACAGATCAACATTGACATTCAATGTACCGCGCGAAAAATATCAAGATTATGAATACCCCTACCCTGCATACTTCCATCCCGTTTCCCCACCTGTAAAGATTATAATGCAAACCGTGGAAAATTTCGAGAAAATGAGTCGACACGAGACTGAAACGCAGAACGAACGACTGAAAAGGAAAATAAAATCACACAGAACAGCCACCACACTTCACACAAGCTCCAGGGCAAACGATTCTTGCGCTATTGCATGAGTAACTCACGTGGGGCACCGAACTGAAAGAAAATTGAACACGGAAGAAAGCCACGGAGCATATTTTAGATCGAATATTAAACTTTTGAATTGTGCACAGATTTCGGAAAATGCGTCTTACACAGATTTTATTGCACGAGGCTATGCGTGAACGTTCTAAACTTACGAATAAAACCTTGAGGATTTGTAAGAAAATTCATCAGAGAAGAATACGATATAATCGTGAAGACCTGTACATTGAATGAAACCAGGTGAAGAACCAACCCACTTCTTCTACCTTCTCTCGCGCGTCGCCGCATGACAGAGCAAGTCACATGAACGGACGAGCATAAGGATGAAATACACAGGAATCACAAATGAACAGGTTACCACTTCCTACAACCAAGCTCCGTTCCATGCAACGCGAACGTGTCCATCAAACAACGCACTGAACCATGGGCGAAGCTGGTCTGCAGGAGGTGATCCACCCCTGATTTTGTTGCGCTCCGCCATGACACTCGTATTCGCGACATCTATGAACAAGACGGAGAACGATTGCTGACACCTGCAGTATGACATGACCAGCAAATATATGCTTCTCCAATTTCCAACATACGCGTATACAGTACTGTTCGTGCGAAAACTTAAATTTCTGAGTTTTTGACTGAGCATCCGCCCGAACTATCCTTATGTTGCCGAACAGCACCCGCTTGAGGAATGAACACCCAACGCACCACCTACCCACACATAAACGGCGCCGAGCCTGGTGTACATTCATTATGTAGTGTGTGGCAATACTATCCTGTTTCATGTGAAGAATTTATATTAAATCCTTACGGAATGTCTTCTAATTTACCTTTTCTCAAGCATTATGGTGCAGGAAGGTTGTACCATATATGCAGCAGCACACCTCAAAATTATTCATCTCTGCTGCATCATGATAGCTGTTTTGATGACGTGAAAATAAATTTCAGAAACGACCTGCATATTTATATTTTAATTTTTTATAAATTAAAATATAAGCATTATCTTAGTTTGTGACTGGAATGAAGGTGGGTTCCAAATGAAAGGATTCATAATTAATTTATTGTGCCCAGGAATGACACAATTAATATGCTGGGAACATCAATAAATTGTAATACAGTACAGTACAATATATACATATATACACAGTGTTATTGTAATACACACTGGGGAGTGGGGAGCTATTCTTTGTGTGACCCCACAACTGCATGGTGCACACTGGGGTCACAACTGGTATTGTACATAAGCTATTCTGGGGTTACAAACATGCACTTCTGTAGATTAAATTTTGCTAACATTCCAGGGCTACATTTGGTGCATAAATGTGACATAACAGGAGTATCCCACAAATGCACCAACTGTAACCTTGGTGTAACTTATTTGTTCACAAATGTGACCCTGAGTAATCCTGGCAGGAACACACAATTTGGTGCACATTATGGATATACATGTGCAAAAGAAGAATAACTTTGTTACACTTCAGGTGCATAGCAGCCCAGCCGGGTCATTGTGTGGAATTATATAGGGATGACATACTGTATATCCCCAGTGTTTCCCCACTCTGGCTGAGAGATGCCATAATTGAGGGGGGATGAGGGGAATAGTTCCGAAAAAATATTGTAGAGGTCACTTTTGAATGACGTACATACGGTACTATCAATAGTGTGTCACAATAGGAAAGCTGGAGGTTCATGGGCGCCGGGTACAAAAATTTATTTCCGCGTGGACTTATTGTGTGCTGCGAAAGAATAAGAGCGAATCCAGGATTCTTCTACCGTATTATCCTGCCAGGTTTTTGATTTATCAAGTTTTCAATTTCCTATTTCAATTGTGGTCATTATTTCATCCGCAAAGATTCATTCTTCTGCTCTGTTTGAGCATGAAAATTCAGTTCATATATCGGTGATGATGAGCATCAATAATAAGGAATACAACAGTGGGGTGGATTGAAGATATGCAATAACAAATCCCAGAAATGCATGCTGGGTATATTGGGCATGTTCCAATAATAAAAGTTGGGAAACATTTACAGATAGACTTCTGCATGAATCTGCTCTGTAATGTCTGGGGCAAAATATACCACTTTGTGTGTTTATTGTCTGATAAAAAGGTACAATCAACGGATATTGTATCTCTGCATTTGGAAGAATTTTATGGACTTATATATTCAATTCAAAATCGATGCATTACCAAGTATTACAGGAAAGTAAGATCTTGCTACAATAACAAAACCATTAATGCTGGGATAGGTGAAAAGGGTTGCTTATTGTTGAGAAAAATTAATTGTTTAAAGTTGCTATATAAAAATATATAAAAATATTGTGTTGCGGACTATGTGTCATAACATTTGTTTTGAAGCTTTTACTGAACCGCTATGTAAATTAAATGTTTTATTACATACTGTATACTGCATTCCATGCTTTACTATTGATGGGTACCGCATGACTTCTCTACAAAACTTATTGTACACATTGTTTTCCAGCATACATGCAGTACTACAGTTCTGTGTACTCATTGTGTACCATAAAAGCACTAGAGTTCAGTGTGTGTGTCAACTTGAAACAGTATTCTTTGAATTATTGTGAAGAATTTCTTAGATGGTGAAGGTGTGTGAATTGCATCAGGTTATCAAGTGATGCCCTGAAAATTCTCAGAACTTCTGTGAGCCGATTGTTTCAACTTTCAATGCATTCAGTGAATAATGAAATATGAAGCACAGTACGGTACAGAATACCGCATGTGTGAAAGGCAGAGCTCTATGTTGGTTTCTGATGTAACATGTCCCCCTAATGATTATGGAACGAATATGTGGTTTGTTAACGTCTTACATGATAGGCGTTCCAGTATTGATGCCGAGATATGAATGATTTTGGTTGACATGAATTGAATATACGTACATATTTCGAGCTGACAATTCCGGAAACTTCTAAGGGACAGGTGTGTGATTTTATTTTAGCATTTATCTCGCATGGGAACATGTTTGAATGTGAAGAGAAGCTGTGGTGATGCAAGCGATTGTAGCGTGTGCTCATCAGACGTATTATGCAGCTTCTAAAGCCTCCCTGGGTTTCTCACAACGGTAAGTAGTCGAGGTGCGAAAATTTGATGCCGCGTGCGTTATTTATCTGATGTGCATGTCTTTTTAAATTCAGGGAATCCCATAATTTCTGTCGACATCCACCCGGATCAAACTCGTTTCGCTACCGGTGGTCAAGACGGAGACGCCGGGCGTGTGTCGATATGGAGCATGGCTCCTCTTCAGAATGTTGCATCTGAGGAGTCTGAAAGCGTGTCGAAGTTACTTTATAAAATGGATAACCATCTGGGTGAGCATTCACGACTAATCAACGGTTGGCTGTTGTCCATATTCATTTTTTTTCTCATCAGCTTGTGTGAATTCGGTTCGGTGGAGTCCTACGGGTCGGTGGTTAGCGTCAGGAGGTGACGATAAATTGGTTATCATATGGCAGATGTCTAGGGAAGCGCCGAGTAAGTTTTGCAAATGTTGAAGTGTGAGTGGTCGAAAATTATCTTCTGATGTTCAGTGCCTGTGTTTGGCGGAGATGGTCGTGCCGCGGCAGAAACATGGAGAGCCCTAACTTTGCTCCAGGGCCACATGGGAGATGTTCTCGATTTGGCTTGGTCACCGAAGGAACATCAGCTTGCATCTTGCTCAGTCGACAACTCCATAATTATATGGGACACTCGGAAATGGGGAGGTGAATACGCTTCTCTCGCTTGCGGAGGCTGAATCAGCTACTGACAGTTTTTTTTTTTTTTTACAGAAAAAGTTGTTGTCCTACGAGGACACACAAGCTTAGTTAAAGGAGTTTCCTGGGATCCTGTTGGGAAATTCTTGGCATCACAGTCAGATGACAAAACGCTGAGAATTTGGCGTTGTCAAGACTGGAAGTGTCACAAAGTTATTTCTGAACCATTTGAAGAGGTACGTACAGTGCGATTGCAATTACAGTACTTCCTTGTATATTTCTTTTAAAAATGTTTTTCATCTTTTCTTTTCGTAGACTTCGGGAGCTACCCATGTTTTGAGGCTGCATTGGTCACCAGATGGTCAAGCGTTGGTGTCCGCATTTGCGAAAAATGGAGGATGGCCTACTGCTCAAATTATTCGAAGGGAAGGATTTGAACTTTTCAACGATTTTGTTGGGCATCGCAAAGCTGTGACATGCGTCAAATTTAACCCGCAACTCTTTCAAGACGTCGTTGAACTTGATGTTCCGAATGGAGATGCGGTGCAAGAAGATGCTGATCAGCATGGAAATCAAAAATCTGAAACTAATGGCACAACTGAAGCTGGAAAAATTTCTGCGAAAAAAGCAAAAAAACAATCTCATGTGAATCCAGAATATTTGTGCTGTGCATTAGGATCTCGGGATCATGGTTTGTCCATTTGGCTAACCAAAATTCAGCGACCGCGTATTGTTCTGGAAAGCTTGTTTTCTGATTCGGTAAGTAGATTTCGTAATTTTGACGTTTCTGTGAATGAGGTCGATTGCTTTGTAACTAGGTGACTGATCTATCGTGGAGTGCGAATGGCCTGGAATTGATGGCCTCTAGTTGGGATGGAACCATCGCCTTCATATCGTTTGAACCGTCCGAATTGGGTCGTTCAATTTCAATGGAAGAGAGGGTGAGAATGGACGAAAATTGCGCTAGAAAGCAGCCTGTTGATGTTTTTTGTTTTTCTTTCGAAGAGCAAGCTTATGAGGAAGTATTATGGGAGTTTTGCGATGGATTCCGATACAGGAGAATTTGGTTTGAAATCAATCCAATCTCAGATCATGGAAAATCCCATGTCTGAACCCGATATTACCAAATTCAATGAAGAGAATTCACTTAATAGAGGTTTTGGAGATGCTTCTTCGTCGCCTTCCTCCGCGAAGGTAGTGATCAAAGGACCAACAGACAAGCAAATTGAGACAAGAACCACCGATGGCAGAAGACGCATTACTCCGATATTTATTCCCGTGGATTTAGGTCCAATACCGCAGCCGTTCGGGTTTGTAACTTTTGTTATGTATCATCAATCGAATGCTTCGCGAAAATATCTTATTTGACGTTTGAATTTCTGTAAGTTTGATTGACACTTTCCGTGTAATTATTTCTTGATCCGGTTTTTTTTTTCATGTCGCAGTATTAATTTCATAGGGCAGTGAAGATTTATGACTTGTAACGATATCTTGTGAAGTTCCCTCCAGGGGCTTTAGCTTATTGAAGAACCAATCGGCTGAATGTCAGATTACCATTGAATCATTGATACAATTTTTTTAGAACTCCATCTTCAACCCCCCATGTGGACGAAAATGGATCAAGACCGGGCAAAATGAATGGTTTTCCCGCCGTTCCAAGTGATCATAAGAGGGAAAAAGTTCAGTCGAAGTCTGAGAAATCGGCAGACGATGAAACTTCGCTGTCTTCTTCTTCATCCTCATCGGACAATGAATCCACGTCTTCTGAAGAAGATAACGAAGTGGAGGCCGATTCAGAACGTCAGGGTGAAGTCGACAAAGCACGCGGTGATATTATTGATGCGGTAAAGGGGATTGTCGAACCGGACGTTCCCAAAGAAGAAAAACTAGAAGAAAGTACGGCGTCCACCAGTTCAGGAAGTTCAGATTCCGATGACGATGACTCATCCTCGTCGTCATCATCGTCGTCCGATGACGGGAACGAGCCTGTGATTACTGATCAGCAGAAAAAGCTGGAGCCGGCAGAAAGCCGTGTTGAACAAGCTGATGATTCTGATGAATGTGCCGAGGAGGACGTTGAAATGAAGGACGAAAAGTCGAGTAGTGAGTCAGAAGAAGAGGTACAGAAATCATCTGGTATGTCAAGGAAGCGCAAACTGGAAAGCTCGGAAGATGAGGCCGTAAATGAAGCAGAAGAAGTGGAGCCTGACGTTGCGGAGCCGGAGCCATGTCGTACGAAAAAGTCAGTTCCTCGACCAAGTACGAGGAAGGATAGACCGGAAACAGTACCAGAGGTTAGAAATAGTGGGCTAAATCTCTTTCCTACGCAGCAAGAAAGTCAATTCGAGGTAGTGAACTTGATTTGCGTTTTATATTTAGACTCTCGGCGTTGATGATCTTTTGGGTCGTCGAATTGGAACTCAGGAAAAGCTGGCTCCTTCATCCCCGGTTCCACCGAAACCTGACGAAAAGCCGAGAGGAGGCATTTTAATTCGGGTATGACCTGTTGTAATTTTTATTTTCGTTTTCATAGTCATAGATATTCAGATTTATCTGCAAAAAAGTTGTTCTTTTAAGAACTGCGATCCATGAGTGTGAGTTCAATTTTTGAAATTATATTGAGGTTGTCGCACGAGTGAGAAACTTGAGTTCACAGTCAAGCATCTAGAATTCAACATGGAATTTTTCTCTCTGTCGTATCTTGACGAATTTATGTGATGAAGATAAACCAAGTCGTACGTCTCATCGTTTTTGTTTTAGATACCATCGACCGTCACGTCGCCTGGCCTAAGTCTTCAAGCTGAAAATTTCGTTTATACGTCTGCCGGGAAAGCTGTGCATAGAATCAAGTGCAAACCCGAAGGCACGTCCGCGTTGAAACATATTGCTTGGGAGGAGCTTTATAGTTCCCCAATAACGCACGTTGCCTTAACATCTAGTGTAAGTTAATTCATTGGTAGTGTAAATTCTTCTTATAGATTGATTTCGGGTTGAGAACGAGTATTTGTTTTCCTTCCAGTTGGCCGTTGTTGTGTGTTCAGATGGGATGCTGAATTGCCATGATACAGTCTGTGGCGATTACGTTATTGCACCCTTGAAACTGGCTGGTGCTGCACTCAAACTGATCGCGAAAGATTCTTTGGTTGCCGTGCTGACTAAAAACGCAGTTTTTTGTCTGTGGAATATGAGTTCAAAGCGGAATTTGGTGCGGAGTGATGTGGGACACCTTTTTACAAGTGAGGTTCTTGCGTACAATAATTTTTGCTGTGCCTGTAGTCAAATTTCTGTACATAATTATTGCCGTCTTAACGTCTAGACGTGCGTTTTTATTCGTTTCAGATCCACAATCATCGGTCAGTGTGTTGATGTTGACAGATGACGGAGCACCTGTGATTGGCCTCACTTCTGGGAAAGCTTACGTTTTTTCTACTGATCTGCAATCTTGGTATGCATTTATTAATACTGTGAACATGAGAATCGGTGGACTTCATTCTTCTTGAAATATCAGGGCACTTGTCTGTGATTCTTCTGACACTGTGAAAAACATTGCACATCCATCGGCGGTGAGAAACGCTAGTTCCAGTGGTGGAATCAAGAAATCCTGGGGTTATGGTAGTAGGGATCTCCCTATTTTATTAGGGATCCAGGAGCAGCTCAAACGGTAATTAAGTGATGCGCTAATAAAATGGTGACGAAGAGCTTGACGCGGTTTGGTTTTGCATTTTTAAGGAATGTTTCCGGTGCCAGTCAGCTGTTCCGATCGACGACGGAAATGCAGCATTTGGGTACCATGAGTTATTTGAATTCTCAAATGGCGGCTGCAAAGCTGCTGAATTCTCCGAGAGATTTCAAAGAATGTCTCGTGAATTTCGTGCGCTATTGTGTTCAAAACGGTGAGGATTTTTCAAATTTTGTTTGTTTGTTTCCTGTTCGTACTGATGTTTATTTTAAATTGTACAGGACTTGAAATCCGGTTGAGGCAGGTATTTGATGACCTTCTTGGGCCTATTTTCGGCAGAAAATCCTCAGCTCAGTGGCAGGAAGAAATCGTAGTAAGTACTCCTTGCTTATCTGCGTTACGATTATACTAGAGGTTCACTTCGAATTCTGCTGACAAAATCGAGAAGAAAACCTCTGCAATTTGCGTCCGCTTTTCTGTCAAAACTCTTGTCAGTGTGTCACTTCTGCGGGATGGATATTTGTTCGAGGATTGGATATTTTTCCTGGCTTACCGCATTTTTGTGTTACATTTTGGGTTTTCGTCCAGGGTTTGAACAAACGACAGTTGCTGAAAGAAGTTTTACCTCTGGTATCGTCCAACCTTGCATTACAACGACTGCACGTCGAGTATACGGATTTGCTTAACTGTGTGGGGAAGGGTGGAATTTCTTCTCTTCGGGAAGTCACGCCGAGTTCCGTGTCCAACAGCGCCATGAACGGAGACGTATGATGCCTTTCTTCGCCAATAGGTCGGTTATTGGTCTTCCATATGATGCTGTTGAAGGACTGCAGACCTCTTATTCGTGTTCTAAACCTTGCCACTGATGTTTTGGCGAGTTACTTTAAGATGGCGGAAAGTGGATGTGAAGCGTATGTGAGAGTATTTTCATCCATTTCTTGGTCGGCAGGCGTTGTTCGCCTTGCTCAGTCAGCACCAGTCCTTGTGATGTTTTTGTTATCTTGATCGATTGTTCCAAATAATAATGATCCAAGGCTGAAGAATAGTGGCTCATGTCTCCATGCTTCGAACATTGCCATTTTTTCATCGCCGCGGCTAGTTTTGCTACTTTTTCTAATTTTTTCACGGTCAAAGCGCAGCGTTCTAAGGATGGATCTCATCTGAAGCAATTGGGTTTTTTTGTGTGGTGAATTTTACGAAGGAGTGTTGGGGAGAGTAAAATGTGGCAGTGACCGTTTTGTCCAAAATTGCGTTATCTATTCAAGCAAATAATATGCGTATTCTACTCCTCTTCATCCATTACATCTTCCTTGATTGAGAATTTGCTTCATTGTGAGAAAACTGAAATAATACATGTTGCACTTGTTGAAAGAGAGTCCAACAAGATGAGCACTAAGCAAACTAATTCTCATTGCATGTTTTTTTTTCTAGAGGTACTCTTCTGAAGAATTCATGCTTCACAGTATTCACACCAGTACACAAGTGAATTTTCTTTGCACAATATTGAGAAATGCCACCTTTGAGGCTTTTTCAACTTCCATCTGTCGGTGTCTGTGTGATGCATTTCTCAACCAGCTGTACAGTATTCTGTTTCTGCAACATGCATGATCCCCTTTCCCTAAATCAAGTACAGTGGACCTCCCTTTAAGGTTGATGTATGAATTTTTTAAAATTCTATTGGACCTGTTTATCCAGGAAAGCTCAAACCACTGCATGGCAATGTACCATGTATGTTCTCTTCATTTTTAAACATTGTATCTAGGGTTCCATGATGCATTTCCCAGATGGTAGTTGAACATTAGCACCTCAGGGAATGGGGATTTGTTTGCTTTGTTTCACTAGGGTCAGAATTGAGCAAAGAGTTGAGGGATCAAATTTTGTTTCTGATCCTATCCATGATTTGCCAGATACTCCTGTAATTCGTCTGTTCAGAACAGGAAAAATTGCATAGTACACTTATCTTGAAAGTATACAAAATGTTAGGGAAAGAAAGCATTGCTGAATGACAGGAGCATGTTTGCAAAAGTAATTTGGACAGGGCTGGTAACAGCAATGATGGTGGCCACAATTTGGTATATAGCGTTTGTCTTTCAGGATTTATTGTCTTTTCCCCTGACCACAACTGTCCAAGTTTTGCAAAATTCAAGCTGTACCTTTCCCCACTGTTACTGTTCGCAATTGGAGTGCTGTCCAGTGCTCAAAAATGATCACCACTTATTTCCACTACCCTACCAAAGTCCTGGAACTGATGCATTTCAGCAATTGCAAAAGCACTGCTTCAAAACCTCCTTTGATCTATGGCTTTGAAACCTCCTTTGATCTACCATTTAAGTTTACTTAATACTAGCACCACTTTTGGATTCAGGTCAACTTTATTGTTAATGGTTTTTTTATTTTTTAGCCCTGATGCACTCTTATTGGGTGTCAAGAGGATCTGTACAGATATTTAGGAAGAAGTTTGATTGCATAAAAGTTATATTCTCTGTACAGTATAGGGTTTTATGTGGTACAGTATTGCAATCATGACACATTGTATAACTGATTTGTACCATATACTGTGCTTTGCCTTTTTACTGAGGGAGACATTTCCAACATTTGCTGTGGGTGTAGATAGAAAAGAGGGTGGTTTTGAAAGGTAGTACTCTCAACAGATGATATAATATATATGAGGAATGTAGAAAAATTTTTCCAGCCAGAGAGAAAAAATCAAACAAATTTTCATACAGAAAAGAGGGTGGTTTTGAAAGGTAGTACTCTCAACAGATGATATAATGCATATGAGGAATGTATGAAAATTTGTCTGAATTTTTTCTTTGGCTGGAAAAATTCTTCTAGTCAAACCTACTACCTTTCAAAACCACCCTCTTTTCTATCTACACCCACAGCAAATGTTGAAAATGTCTCCCCAGTAAAAAGGCAAAGTACAGTACAGTATATGGTACAAATCAGTTACACGTGTTGTGATTGCAATACTATACCACATAAACCCTATACTGTACAGAGAATATAATCTCCCATGCATGTATGTAGAACAAATTTGAAAGCTATTTTACTTTGACCCATTGGAATTTTGTTTGATTTTCAAATTGTGTGCAGGGATGAGCTGTAAGATGAAGTAATTTCCAGCACAGACTGGTGGTTCACTAATGAGCTACTGCCAAAGGTATCAATTTTAGTATACTGTACAGTACTTTTCTTGAAGGATGTGGATTAATTTCTCTTTGAGATATTTAGATATTGCTGCATATGAGCAAAGACATTTTCACTGAAAATGGTGACTGCGCAGCCAGTGAATTCACTAAAATCAACTTGTATTTCAGAACACTGCAGCAAAGCATCATCACCAATAAGGTTCCAAAATATGATGTTAGTCTTTGGAATTCATTTCCTTTGCAAACATAGTGCACTTAATCATTTTGCTGTTATCTTCCTTAAAGGCATTTCAAATGTTTTCCAATCTCAAAAGGGGCTGCTGGTCTCTATCTGGCTTTCTGCATTTTCAAATCGATTGGAAGGATAAATTGTATGATTAAAAGCTTTGTTGGTTGGATTACTTTGTGTTTTGCTTGCTGGTCTCAGCAGAAAACTAAAGTATCTCTGAGAAGGACGCCGTGCAAAAGAAATTTGGCAATCCAGAGACTAATGGTTTGGGTCATTGAAGATTGAATACATTTTAAGACAAGATTTTATTCTTGACTGTTTCCCACTGGAAAATTCACAATTTTGTGGTCTACATCAGTGTTCCACAACCTTTTGGTTACCGCAGACAGGCAAATTAAAAAAATATATATACGCAGACTGGCAAAGTTTCATAAAATTGTTTGCAGACGCAAAATAGTTTTTTTTAAAGACTTCATGAAAGGTATTTAAAAACTTTCTGCGTTTTAAAGAAATTAAGTCAAGAACCACTATGAAGTAGCTACAGTGGAATGTCTTCAAAAAATAAGAAAGGTTGGTTTGAATAGAAAGGTTTTTCAGAATGAAAAATTAAAATAATTTATTTCAGCATTATCATGGGAAAAGCCAACTTTTATTTCCATAAGATAATTTCAACTGCCATTGTATTTCCAAAATATTAAATAAAGATAATAGACTTCATTGCTACTTCTGAGGATTAAGAAAATTTCCCCTGGACCTGCAAAAAAAAATTCTGCGGACCATGTGCTGGTCTGCAGACCTTGGGTTGGGAAACACTGGTCTACATAGAACTTTATAAAAATCTAAATGTTCCTCTTGAAGGATGCAATTGAGTTATCCCGGCGAAACCGTAGATTTTTCGCACAGGAAAAATGTCAACCATCTTTTGGTATAAGCGCGGTTTCTGATTGGAAACTGTTCATTTTTTACGCGCTGATATAAAGTATCACGCGTCCTTCAGCGCCACCTTGACATGTAACATTTATTTCATCTGATGAGGAGCACAAAGTGAATTTCCAGCAAGGAAATTCGACACCGGCACACGCGTAATTATCCTCCGAAGAGTGACAGGAACACGCAGATGAGGTGTAATTGAGAATCGCGTTCGAGGCAGCGGAGAGCTTATGTGTGCCAATCTTTATTTTTAAACCATCTGACTATTTCGAGTTTTGTTTCTGCATCAGCTGCCAAAATCCCCTCCTTTCCTGTTCAGTTCACCGACTGTGTTCAGTGCATGAACACGCGTTTCATCCCGTGTGGTTCGTGTACGGACGAAGTTCACATTTTTTCTATAAAACCACGATTTTCGAAACGAAAGGAACTGATTTACGTGCTTCTGTATAGGACTCTTATTTCGCCGAATAAAATGATAATCGTGGAAGACTGCAGCGGCGAAAATGTCCGAGTGTTCTCGGTGATATTTCAAAAATTGTATGAAAATGAACTCACCAGCAGCGAATGAATAAGCTGTGACGTTTGAGTTCAACAAGCAGCCATATTTATACAAAAGCATCATGATGATGATGGCATCATGGATTGCGCTGCTTTTGTTGCTGCTTTTGCTGAGTAAGTCGGAAGGCATGACGATCACCAGCTCTGTTGGCAATCGGATGTTGACAGGATTACAACATGTGGCCTCCGGGGTTCAACCTTGTTCTTTCAACGAGTTGTGCGACTGCAAATCCAACCTCCGATTGATTGGCAGCAATGCAAAGGCAACGAAACGCACGAGTGCACCTACGGATCATCAAGGAGGGATCATCTGTGTGAATGTTCCCTTCTCTTCTGTCCCGCGTAAGTACCACACCGAAATTATTGAATGATTCCGAAAAAAACTTGAAGGAAGATTTCTAAAAATGCTTTCAAGAGCGATAGCGCAATTATTTTGAAAGCTGTACGCTATTCGAAACATGGCCCTGTAATACCGGTGGACTCTCTCTACAACGATCTCATATCTACAGCGATTTTCTTCGTATCATGACTTTTTTTGGGATCCCACACAGATTTCTCTTCCCATGCTGTAGGGAAGAGCATCAGAATTTGAATGAAGATGTAGAATTTATCGACAAGGAACTTCTCTCGACAACAAAGTTTTTCTGGACCCTTGAATTTGTTTGTAGAGACAGTCCATCATGTATATTTTTCTCCAATTCCTCTACCTCCAAATTTTCTTGTATCTTCTATAATTTACGCTGTTGTTTTCGTTCACATTTCAAGTCCACTTTTCTCATAAAAAGTGTTCAAAACATTAATTATCTAAAAAATAATGAAAAATGTTGCAATTATTATAATATCATCTAAAAATTATTTTTTCGGTGAACTTCAATTTATTCCTTGAAATGCGTTCAAACCCTTTTCTGCTGGTATGTATATCGGGACACAGCATACTTTTTTTCAATCCCGAGGCTCCAGAAAGGGATTTATAAATTCAAGAGCTGCGTTACATAGGCGTACTTGAATAACCCTCTCACGTATTCCATCGACGTTTTGAAAAGAAGAAAGTGGGCGAGCGAAATATTATTTTCTGTAGAGGTATTACAGAAAAATTCCTGGGAACATTTTTCAAAATGATGTCTGATGGAAAAGCGAAGGTGTGCCTTTTGATGTTCAGGCATATGTGATGCCACCAGAATTACTAGGAGAAAAATAACTAACAACCCAGCTCAGCGAAAAGTTCGCGTATTATACCGTATTTACATAAGAACCACACGCACATTTCTCTTTTCAAAAACTGTGGGGTAGAAATCGAGAAAAATAAGGAGAGCGTGTCATATATAGTATAAGCGAGGGCACGAAGTTTTCCAACAACAAAAACTTTAAATACGCGGAACCGTTGAGCCTTCTGCAGGCACATTTGAATACAAATACTTGAAATGTGCTAGGTAAAAATTCGAATTTATATTTGCATCGAAGCAGAATCAAATAGTTTTCATTTGTTCTTGTTTCATATTTTCATCAGCCGTATCAGGAATGCTGTAACTAATTGATGTAAACCAAAAACGGGAAAAAATTTCTGGCGTATATAAAAGAAAGTGTCCTTTTAATTAAAATCCTCAACAAATCATGAGCACAGTAAAAGGTTCAACTCTGGATGATAACATTTTCAAATTCATCAGCGCTCACATGGCTTCCAATTTGTCTTTTATCCTCTATTGCTATTCTATTTTTCTGTTTTCATTTACATTTAAAGTCGAATTTTTCTCGAAAAAATTTGTGTAAAGCATTGGTGATTAAAAACATAAGCAAGAGATGTTGCCGTTTTTATCAAACGATCTAAAGAACGAGTTTTTGTGAACTTTACTTTGATTGAAAAGCGTTCAAACTTAGACCCTTTTCTGACTCCTTTTTTTCAATTAAATCAGGTTTTCCAGCTGGACCAGTTTCCCACATTGACCTCGTGAATGCTGGTCTTGAGTATCTTCCTGAGGGGAGTCTTTTTCTGCCTGGCGTCAAGTCCTTAAGACTGACTGGGAACAAGATAAAAATGATCGACAACGCCACTTTCAGGTATTTAATCGAATAATTTGACTTCTTTTGAATTTTGCTACTCAAATCGTTTTGCTGTTGGAGTCGGCAAAAAGCTATAAATAACAGCTCGCATAAAGTCGCTGAAAAGCTTTAGATAGTTTAGAAGCTTAGTTTATGCTGGTGATGCTTTGAGTACTCATAAAGGCAGCCTCTTATCCGTCTTTTCCTTTTTCCAAAATTATTATTTGAAGTTTGATTGGCGAATCTTTGAGATCTCTGGACTTGAGCTACAATTCCTTGGCAGAATTCCCATCACACTCCTTCCTTCCCCTCAAGAAGCTGGAGTGGCTCAACCTAGACAGGTAAAAGAGTATCATATTCGAACGAAATTCCATCCGAGGTGAATTCAATGAAATCAGTTCATACATATTGTTCTTCTTTCGCAAATACTCTTCAGCAATAAGATTGCTTCATTGGACGAGTGGCCGGGTCAACAACTTCCGAGCACATCATCGCCCAGTATGCTCGGAACCCTGTTTTTGGCAGGGAACGAGATTACTCAAATCAACCCTTCGACTTCATTTTTTTCTGGCATGGGATCCCTCACGTGGCTGAATCTCGACTCAAATGGGCTCGGCGATGAAAGCATGTCCACCGACTTGTTCCCGAAATCCCTCAGCATATTGTTCCTCGCGAACAATATTTTGCAGGTAATGTCATGATTAATACTGTGCATTAGCAATTTTTCGGAATTGTGAAAAAAACTATTCTATAATGGGTTCTTGATTTTAACCGCGAAATCAAAATTTTGTGCACAGCATTGCCGGGAAAATCAGAACCGTTAAGAAGATCACATCATATTTCAAAGGAATAATTATATTTAATAATTTATTCTCCACCATATTTTCGAGTCTCCAACAGTTACTTTGAAACCCTTGCGGGAATGTAAGAAGAAAAAAACCTGTCCCACGATGGATCTTTCAATTTTCCTCAACTCTTCCCACGTGTTATACTTTGCAGTCAAATTTATACAATTTCACTGGAACTTGCACTCGTCATTAAATAACCCCACGAACCCTGCATCTCATAAAACTAACGGGGATGTAGAATGATGGGCTTTATTCGGATGTTTGAAAAGTAGGAATTTCAAGTTTGAAGGATAAAAAAAATTTCAGCAACGGCAAATTCATAAATGACTTCAATTTTTTCAATCGAGAAATACCATTTGAGAAAAGTGTGCAAAAATCACAAGATCGAGCGAAAATTTTTCGAAGAAAGGGCGATGCATCACATTTTTCTTCAAATTCTTGCGTGGGAATTTTACATCCTGACGCAATCATAAATAAGGAGAAGCCGGAAATTTAATGAATATCACAGCATGTATTGTTTTGGCTTTTATATACCTGTATGACAACCTCAGGGATTTTATCTCTAGGAATTTCCCATCAATGTGATGACTGAGTTGCCCAACTTGATGTGGCTGTATTTGCGTGGCAATCACGTGCGTTATTTGCCGTCTTCGATGCCATGGGCGACTAATGGAGCAGTTAAACGACACTGGGACAAGTTGGACGTCAGTGAGAATTTTTTGCCGGAATTACCAGCCAACGGGTCTCTCTTCGGAGGGTCCGTCACTGTGAATGACTTCTATGCAGATCACAACTGGTTCTCAGAAGTTCCTTCCAGGGCCTTCCTGGGAATGCAGGTATAGATTCAAATTTAGTACAATACAAGGAAAAAAGTATACTGTACTTGGAACCCTAATTAATATGTCACGGTAAAATTATTGTCTTAGAAACAAATCCAGTCAATGCTGCCTATCTTTTTTCGAGTTCTTCAACAATCTGTTTTCGATGCAATTTTTTTACTGCCCCAGGTTTCTGAATTTGGGTTGCTGATTGAGAAATTCATTCTTTCGATAATGTAAAACCTTCTTCAATTCGAAATTATATCGAATATTGTTGAGTATTTCTTTGGAAATTATGGTCCAAAACCTTCGGAAAATACTTCAGTTGACCCCAATAGGTTCTGTTCTGACTTTTTTTTCATAGTCCCCATCAGAGACAATGCATTTTTTTTTAAACCAGCCCTGATTTTCTGATAATTATTTACGCTCAGTCACGCGAGGAATTATAGAAAAATAGGGAAATATTTTTTATCTTTAAAAGAGAAGATAACTTCTCGAGAAAAGATCTTTCTTGCTCGATGGTTGTAATCTGAAATAAAAATTCAGGCTGAGAAAAAAAGTCAGTCATACATTTTTTTTTATCATAACGTTGTTTTATTGATATGGTTTTTTGTTCCGCTGTCTTTTCAAATTTATAAAATGCCAAATATTGATGCAGAGAAGCATGTTAAGTTATTTTAGAGGAAGTAAATGTTCTTTCCAGAGGACATTATGGTCAAGCATTTAACTTTGCTTCCACGTGTTTTTTTAATCAACTTTTTTTTTGTGCCACAACAGGTAAAACGACTGTCCTTGGCACACAACCGTATCGAAAAGCTAGCCTGGGATTCCCTGCTGGGCATTCATGACAGCTTGGTGTCATTAGATTTGGAAGATAACAAGCTGGGTCATGTGCCTGCCGAGTTGGCCCGACTCACCAATCTCACCCTGCTTTACTTGTCCAGAAATGGAATCCAGAGTCTTCTGCCAACGACGTCAACCATGGATGGCAGCATCCTCGGATTCCGTTTACACATGTGCCAACAGCACCTGGAAGTACTTGATCTCAATCATAATCTCCTCCAGGAAGTACCCAGCGAGGAACTGCGTCAATGCACTCGACTCACGAGTCTCGGATTGGCGAATAATAATGTATGCATACGACTACTGTTTATGCCAATTCGATGATATTGAGGTCTCGTATAATGATAGTACGTCTTATTTGTAAGATAAGTGGCTTCACGGGAGACGATTTCGCACTCTATGGACAACAACTGGACTCGCTGACATTGCGTTCAAACAGGATCAGTCGTGTGATCGGCAGGTCATTTCAGCACACACCGCTTCTCAGGGAACTTTCATTGTCTTTCAACCCCATCACCTTCGTAGCACCGGATGCGTTTTCGGATTTATCCAATTCTTTGGAGAAGCTGTCGTTGAGTGGTTGCCTGGATAAACTCAAGGATTATCCACAAGACCAGCTTTCATATCTGAGGTGAAATGTACAATCTGCATTTTCCTGGGTGTTGCGAGACGCAGTATTTGGTGATCCCGTAACACGAGGATAAATGCCTTGAAAACCGTTTTTTTTTTCGTGGTATTCTCCTGTAAAATAATGCATGCTTGCTGTGTATATACTGTAACGTTCGTTGTTCTCTGTTTAATTGTTTAGTCAAGTTACTTTTGCTCAAGTTGGGATTTTCTAGATTCTTTAAAACTGTATCAAAAGTCATTTAAATTGCATTCACTACACTTGAAAAAAAGGAAACCATACTCTTTTCAGAATTTTTCCTCTGGAAGATTAAATTCTCCTGAAAAAATTTTCGATTAATTTTCAATATGAGGGGCATTTTCTTCAATCTTCGCATAATTCAACATAATGTAGGCAACCGCTTTATAAAAGAGACGTCAAATGGAAATTTCGCATTTAAAAGTCAATTTCTCGTGTATTTTCACAAATGGAAAACTCTTGGAAGAGGGGAGGACGCAAATCACTCGACCAAATATTTACGCATTCTCGGCCAAGAAAAGTTTAAATTTTAGAAAGTTTTGCGCTAAAACTCTTTAATTTCTCACAAATTGAGAAAAAGGAGAAGCGTGAAAAAATACGGGTATTACCTCCTCTTATTTTAGAATTTTTCAATTTAAAAATTCAAGAATGCAAGCGTCATATAACTCGAATTCTCATACTTATCAATTTTAAATTTGTATTCGATGCTGAAAACGTACAAAAATGTTGAGTTTTTAAGGTTGATTTTGTCTTTTTGAGTGTCTAGGACTGATGAAAATGTTTTTCATTGTCAAGTAAGAGTAAAGTTTATGTTTTTCATAATGGAAATTTTGCATAACGAAGCGGATCCGGGAGTGGATTAGTTTTTTTCATGCAAGGACCAGCAACTTTACTTCAGGGGTTCTTGCAGAAAGTTATCTTGTGATAATTTTAAAGTACAATATGGCGAGTTTGCGATTATCTTTGAATTTTACATTGTGAACGGATTTGCATAATTCCAGATTTATATTGTTCTGTTTGAAAAAAAATATTTTTTGATGCAGGTCGTTGCAGACTCTTATAATGGACAACAATGCATTGCAGAGCCTGCCAGAGGCTGCATTGTTGTTCTTCACCAACATCAGACTCTTGAACCTGGAGTACAATCGATTGCGCAACATACCAAGGTCCATATTCCACAGCAATGTTCACAGCAGACTCATGGACTTGCGTCTGGGCCACAATCATCTGCTGGTGCTCGAACATGAATTGTTTCACCATTTGGAAATGCTGCAGACGGTCGTTTTGAGCTACAACCAGATACAAAGGATCCACATGCGAGCCTTTTCGCAGTTGCCAAATTTAGCTGCCGTGTTGTTGGACAACAACCGGATTCAGTTTCTGGAGAAAGATGCATTTCATCATCTTCCTTTGCTAGCGCGTCTGGATTTGCAGTTCAATCTGCTTCAAGAATTCCCGCTGGATTGTTTGGCCAATGCCATATTACCCCCGCATTCGAGTAACAATCGATCGAGAAATTTACCCTCGTCGATGCAGAACTTTGAAATAGCCCTGAATTTGACGCACAACAAGATTCATTCGATCGTCACGACTTCTTCCGAGTTTGTTAGCCAGAGTTTTGGCGGCAGGGAACCTTCCGTGACTTTACAAAACTTTGTGCTTTTTCTAAAAAGCATAGATTTGTCCCACAATTTATTAGAAGAAGTCCCATCCAACTTATTGCAAGCAGCTGCTGCGGGGAAAGTGCTCAGGTATTTGTGTCTGAAGAACAATCGCATATTTCAACTCGGACCTCAGCCTCACTTTCAGGTGCATGCTCTTTTTTATTTTAATTCTTAAATTGGGAAGAAAATTTTGGGTTTGCGTATTTTAAAGGTGCAAAGTTTTCTTCAACATTTTTTTGGCGCGCAATGCCAACTTTTCCAGAGCGAGTTTTTAAAAATCACAGCAGCCCCAATGAACAGAAGTATAAGCATGCAGCTAAAAAGAATCACAATAAGATTACTTTTATTGAGCATATATATTCATACATTCTACTCTTATGGTTTCCGGAAAATTGCACTTTTAAGCAACTAATAACTTGGTTTCGTCTCATGCATGGGAATTCTTTTTAAAATTCAATTATTAACTTTAATTTTCTTAGTCAAAATTGCAAGCGTTTGTCTTGCGTGATACTTGAGTAAATTCGAGGGGCCTTCCCAATTCATTGAAGTAAAGAAATTTTTGTATTTACAGGATTTGGAAAAACTCGTGTCCCTTGACCTGAGTCACAATGTCATCAGAACCGTGCATCCAGCAGCTCTGAATATTGCTGGCAGCCATTTGCAGATCTTGGACTTGTCTCACAATGCCATCTCAGCCCTGCCTGCCAGTCTATTTCAAAGTGCTCTGCAACTCAGAGTACTTGACCTATCTGGCAATCACATAACTCAACTTCCGGTCACCTTATTTCGGACTACCCTGCTGGAACAGCTGAATTTGGCTGGAAACAATTTCCGTACTGTGCCTAGCGTCGCCTTGTCTAATGTGCAGCACACACTCACCAGTCTTGACCTGAGAAAAAATCAGATCCAGTACGTGGATCAAACCAGCTTTGCCAACACCACGAACCTTCTCAGTCTCCTCCTGGGTGCCAACAACATCAGGTCAATTTTCATTCCATCTTCTCCTTCTTTTCGCCAAAGGCATGAGTATCTTATAATTTACCTATGCTGGAGCATGTTCTCAAATACAAAGGCTATTATTGTGTATGAAAGCATAAATTCAAACTGTATTGCTTGACCCTCTAGCTGACGAAGCATGTGAACAACAATTTTAAGAAATAATTGTTAAATTTGTTGAAGTTTGTTGTCATACCTGGGGAAAAGACTTTTGCAGAAATTTGAAAAAGAACAGCCGTATATGCATGTGCTAATATTTTTACCTTTTAAAAAAAAAAGGATAATGGGTGTAAAATGAGACGCAGATTTCGATGCACGATCCTTGTTTAAATTACTCCCCCCTCCGCCTTTGTGTGGACGAAAATTAATCTTCATCCTTTATTCATATTTCTTAGTCCATGTAAACAGTTATTTCTTTGTGTGTGTTTTCAAGTTATTCAAAAGCTTCCTTCAGAACCAAAAGACAGAATGAAGTGAACTTTTCGCGGAGACTCTTGAGCTCTTGTTGAGGTGTCTTCTGGGAATTTTCTGCTGGGCTGCAAATTACTAGCAGACATTTTAAAATTATATTTGATGAACTGTGGAGATCTCGGCTAAAGGTGGACTCTCGCTATAACGATCTCCTCTGTCTGACGATTTTGTTTGTCCACTAGGGTTCTCTTCCCATGTTTCAGGGGTTATTTTTTATGGTATTTCAAATTTTGTTGAGAGGAACCCCATCTGTATTCGATGAGAAAACAAAAATTGTTTCTGAAGAGCCTCTTGACTAATTTTCTAAAATTCTCTGATAGATACTGTGAAACATTTTTTTCACGAGTCAGTTTCTTCAAGAAGCTGTCGTAACGCATGCTGGTTATACTAATTTTACTGCCGTTAATATTGCATTGCCTCGCCTGTAATTGAAAATTGGTTTTAATTTTGCTTTTACAGAAGCTTGCCTGAAGGAGTGTTCTCGGAATTGGGGAATAAACTCCTGACACTGGACTTATCCCACAACAGTATTCACAGCGCGAGTGTGTCCAGGGCAATCCAGCCCCTGACCCGACTGCGCAGCCTGAATCTCGCTTACGCAAGAATCACGGAATTCCCGTCCGTTGTCCCAACAATCACCAACCTCAATCTGAGTCACAATGACCTGACTGCAAGAAGTCTACAATTACTGCTGTACAAGCAAAGTGTCAACGGATCCGCGAGCGTTTTGGCCCAGACGCCGGACCTCCGAGTCTTGGACATTAGCTACAATCAAATCGAAGACCTCCCAGCTGGTCTCTTTGTACCAGTGCCGCGATTGTCTGTCTTGGACTTGTCGGGCAACCCACTGTCTACACTCACCAAGGAGAAATTCCACGGATTGGGTCAAGCTTTGAAAAAGCTGGCTCTGGTGCAACTGGAACAAGTCATCCGATTCGACTCTGACACGCTGTCGAGACTCTTGCGGCTCGATGAACTTTGGATTCAAACGTTTCCGTGGATTGACAAGTATAGATTTCGTCTCGGAGCAGTTCTCGGGTATCTCACCAACCTTCGTGTGTTACATGTCCACATTCGTCAGCTCGATTTGTCGGATCAACTGCATGGAGCAGCGTGTCCGAAACTGAAGGAACTGGACATCTGGGGACTGGATTTGAAGCGCGTGGATCCTAACGCATTCCGAGTATTGATTTGTTTATTCCTTTTTTTTAAATTTGGGGTGATTTCACCAAAATGTCATGCTAAATGAACCACTATTTTCTTCGTAGGACATTTTTGGATCATCGTCACTCGTGCTGCGAATCCACAACACGTCACTGGAGAAGATCCCGGAAAAATTGATTGATAAAATTGACCACATCCCTTTGCTGACTTTGGACTTGTCAAATAACATGCTGAAGGAGTTCTTTCCTTCAAGCATTTACAATAACGTGTCGGATTGGGAATCTGTCGGCACTACAGTTGTCTCCGGTAGGGAAATAAGCTCTTTCTGGATTTTTTTATTTAAAAGTTTCAATAGAAAGGAGAGTTGGAAGGAATAATATGTTGTCCTATAAAAATATCCATGCATGCCAATGCAGTGGCGTAGGGGATTTCATTTTAAAAATCGATTCAAAAATGTTCAATTCTTTAAAAATAAGATCAAATTTTGAATCGAGGATGTTTGGAGAAATATATTCAAGCAAGTTTTGACGTTCCCTATAATAAATACTGTACAAGATTTTTCAAAACTCATGCCAGTCACCAAGTGAGGATTCAAAGCTAAGAAAACTTGCTCGTTTCTACGCCTGATAGTTGAGCATAAAGTATGATCATACATAGAATTGTAAGTTTTCTCCGTCGGGAGAAAAAAATATCATTTTTGGCATCGTTCAATGGGGAAGAACTGACGCAAATCACGCCCATAGTTTTTCGTTTTCAAATTCCGTTTTCCGTTTTTTTCAATTGAACTCAAGAAAATGTTTTGGGTTTTTGTGGATTTTTGTCCCTGAACAGCTTGTAAAGTGTTACAGTAGTTTCGGTTGGCAGACCATTATATATAGCGAAGTCGATTTAACAGTAGATTTGTCAAGGCATAGTAGGAAGATAATTTTGATTTTTCAAACTATTTATAACATCACAACTGTACTTGTAATAATGGTTTTTGTAATGCTGATTATGCTGTTCATGTAATCTGGCTATTATGGAGAAAGTCTCCGTGATCTACAAAAATTCGATAAAACCCACCTGATATGGATGTTATCGCATGTCTGTGAGTTTCAAAGCTGAGATGATGAGTTCTTTAAAAAAAACTGCATTAAAATAAGAAATGTCATCATCTTTCGAGCGACACCGTGCGGAGCAAACGCAATTTGACGAGAAAAAGAGTTTTGACAAACCCAAAGTGATGTCGCTCCTGTATTCCATGAACGCACAGGAGGATTACATCTCGAGGGGAATCCTCTGATCTGCTCATGCAACCTGACCTGGGTTGGCAAGTGGTTGCGTCGGTGGCTGCAAGAGTCGCAAGACATACAAGGCGAAATGCTTGATCGGGCGTCTGAATTGCAGGCGGCTGTCCAGCACGCGACGTGCACTGAACCGAAAACAGGACGCATTATCGCACTTGTCGAACTTCACGAGACGAACAGCAACGATTCGTCATTAAACAGCGTATTTTGCAAGCAGAAATTAGTATCACCGGGGAAACTGGTCATTGCGGCGGGCGACATAGGAGACACCAACAATGGCGGTTCCGCTGTATTTGTGCAAATCGTTCTACTCGTGATCAGTGTGTCCTTGTGGCTCTCAAACGGCGGTATCTCCATTTTTTGGGAATAGCTCAAATTTGGTAATAAAAATGAAAATTTTTCGAAATTGTCCTCGGTTTTGATGTTTTTGTAACTATATATATTACGTAAGATAATCTTAGGTTACCGATGATGTGAGTGCTGTATTGCTGCTTCTAAGCAACTACATCTTGGCATAGTGTCTTCTTGCGTCATAATATTCAAGAAAACGAGACGTATTCGTAATTGAAAGTACTCCCGAAAAATGGGTTTTATAAACTGTTGAAATTTTGTTCGAGTCAAGTCGGCGACGGGTCTCACGCCGACGCGAGGGTGGCGAGAGACCAGCAGAAGTCGTGTTATTTCAGCGTTCTCCTTCAAAGATTGCTTGAGCGTATGATTTGATTTTCTTGGAATGCATTGAAGCGTCTTTCTTCGCCTGT